GCTCTGGGACTTCCGTCCCAATCCAGATTTCCCAGTGCAGGGTTTCCCAGGGGGTTTTCCTCCAAGGGTTTGGGGCTTCAGGCCAGGAGTCCGGTTTCCGGTCTCCCTTTCCCCCGGGCTCAGGGAGTAGGGGTGCCTGCGGGCACTTATTCCTGGGTCGCCCAGGCCAACCTGCGGATGGTTTTGGGTACCAACAGTTACTCAGCAGTTACGGGCTTAGCCTGTACATGTCTGGGTTTCCACCTGGTGGGAGTGGCGGTTCATCCTGGTCCTTTGGACAGGATGTCCAGCCCCAGACTCAGGCAGGCCATCTTGGCCAGTTCTGGGGTCACTCCCGGCCCGCTGGACCGTTCCCATTCCCTCAGGGGTTTGGGTTTTTACCCCATGGGTCTTCACTCGTGGAACCCATAGGGGTTGGTCTCTCCTCTAGGAGATGTTATAGCAGTGCGGAATCCCCCCAATGTTCTGCTACTTCGGGGGCCTTGTTGGCCGGTCCTATAAAGGTTTGCCAGACCTTAAGGACTTCCGCCTCCAGCGCGGACCCGTCGGTCTCCTGTTCCCAGGGGTCGGCTTCGGGTCTCCGACCCAAGCCTACAGCTACAGCTGTTGGTCGCGCTGCGTCCAAATGCCATAAAGAGGAGTTCCCCTCTGCGGAGATGGCTCCTCTGGCGGCCCCTGTTCCTCCCAAGGGGACTTCGGTCTCTATTGAGGAGGAGATGGACATCGAGGGTGCGGGCTCGGCAGAGGAAGACGATGTCATTCATCTTTCTCCTGGGCCAAGAGGGTTCACAAGGGGAAGATGGCCCTGAGACTGCTGAAGCTGAGGCTCAGCATGTGCTTTCTGGGATGCGGGTCCTCCGGGCCAACATCTCCCGGATTCTCAGGGCGGAGGTTTGCCCACCGCCTCAGCATCGTCGGCGCCTGAATCCACCATCCTTCTGGGTTCCCTGGTGGCTCCTCGGGCTTCCGTTCGCTTAGATCGGTCTCTGCCAGAAGGCAATATCATGTCTTCGGTTCTGGCCACGGCCCGGGCTCCGGTTTTAGAGAAGGACTCCTTCTCTACCCGTGCTCTCGGGTTTGTCGGTCTGCAGCTCAGTGTTGGTGAATTGTCGGAGGCTTCAGCTTCCGACTATGCCACACATGATGGGCAGCTGGCCTCTCAACCAGCACAGCTGGAGTTGAGACAGCTGGCTGCCTGGCCCGGCAAATCAGTGGACCAGGTGGTGCTCGATCCCAAAGAGCACCACAGGATGGAGAGAATGTTGCACCTCTCCATCCAAGTTCTGTCATACATAGACTTCCTGACAGTTTGTCTATACAGGGTATCCGATTTGCCTGAGTGTCGGTTATCCGAGACAGAACAGCCGACATACAGGACACGGCAGCCTTGCAGGTTCTCTGCTCGTCAATGCCGTGTTGGCTAGGCAGTTTTCAGTTCTGAAATTCCGCCCAGTCCAGTAACCCTACCTTTTCCGCTTGTTGAATGCCCCCTTCTAGGGCTCTACCCTGTTCAGGGGAGCTCTTCCTTGGGTTCAGAAGGATATGAAGGAGGACTCGGTCGCCTCAGCACTTCTGGTGAAGAGGTTTCAGGCTGAGAAGGCCAGTGCCTCGCAGGGGTCAGTGCCTCCTAAGAAGAAGGCGAAGTCTTCGGCTGCTCAGTTTTCTGCACAGCCCAAGTCCCAACCTCACTTCAACGGCAACAAGGGGAAGGGTAGGAAGGGTAAGAAACCTCCTGGGGGCAAGAAGAAGGGTTCCTGACTATTTCTGCTTCTTGGCCGCGAAAGGCGAAGGGTATGGCCGGGTGGACGGTGGTTCTCCTTTCCCGGGCTCATGTCCTTCTCCTGCAGGCTCAGGCTCCGGGTGGGCAGACGATTCTCTGGTCTGGCAGGGGCTCGATCTGCCCCATCCGGAACTCCCTGTGGGCGGACGTCTCTCTGCTTTCCTTTCCTAGTGGCAGGATATTACAGAGGACGCTTGGGCTTTTGTCGGTGGTCAGGGAGGGTCTAGGTATTCCCCTTCTTCAGGATTCGTCCCTCGCCTCCTGGCCGTTTTTGTTTCTTTCCTCCTCCCGGGGATTCAGAAAGGGCACGGGTGCTCCAGGAGGAAGTAGGGACCATGCTGCCAAGGCAGAGATGCCCTTGGGGCTCACGACAGCTCCTTTGGTGTTCACCAAGTTGCTGCTGGTGTTTCCTTCACTCCTGCAGAATAGACGTCCACATCTATTTCGACGACTCCCTCATGCCTCTTTTGGTGTGGGAATCGTTAGTGAAGGACACTCGTCTGGTCCTGAAACTCTTGCTCAGAGTCGGCTTCATTCCTTCCAGAGAGAAGTCAGAGGTTCCTTCATATTAGGACTTCTTCTTCCTGGGGAACCATTTTGACATGGTTCGGGGCTTAGCCCTTCCACCTCTGGAGAAGTTTGAGAAGGTCAGGGCTCTGGCTCTGACTTTCATCACTTGGTCGCTTGTCCAGGTACATTGGTTCCTCAGTTTTCTGGGGTATCTCAACTCCTTGGCATATGTGGTCCCCCTAGGGAGGATTCACATCGGACCTCTCCAGATGTTCCTCCTGTCTGACTGGGTTCCGTCATCCAGGAGGCCTGGATCCCGCTTACCCAGTCGGTCAGGGAGTTCTCTTGCTGGTGGACCATTCAGGAGAACGTTTTCCACGGGGTACCTCTGACCAAGCCTATCCCCTCTATGATCCTGTTCATGGACGCGTTCATGACAGGAATGTGAGCTTACCTCGATGGGGGAGTGGTCTGGCGAATAACTCTCGGAGCACATCAGTGTACTCGAGATGAGACTGTTCATTTGGCTCTGCAGTCCTTTAGGGGTATCCTGCAGTCCAAAGTGTGGCTACCGACAACAGTTGTCGAGTATCTGGAGAGACAGGGGCCACCAGGTCTCATGTCCTGTGTGCCCTCTCCATCCACATCCATCTTCTCTGCCAGGACATGCAGTTGACCATAGCGGTCAAGCATCTTTCTGGCAGGCTGAGTGTGTTGGTGGCCACTCTCCAGGCGCCACCAGCCGGTGTTGACGGAATGGCAGCTGTGTCCCTTGATTTTCAAGGGGAATTGTCAGGCGTGGGACAGACCTATTATAGACCTGTTTGCCACTTCCCTGAACAACCAGCTGCTAACCTTCGTCTCCCCGGTCCCAGACCGTAAGGCGTGGGCTGTGGACGCCCTTTCTCTGGAATAGGAAGGGACGTATGCATATGCATTCCCTCCCTTCAACCTGGTGGGCAGGGTTCTACAGAAGTTCTGGGAGCATCACTGCTCCTTACTTCTGAGAGCCCCTCTGTGGCCGAGGCAAGCTTGGTTTCAGGAGCTCTTGTCGTTTCTGGTGGAGGAGCCCTTGGCTCTCCCCACCAGACCGAATCTCCTTCGCCAGCCTTGGCCCAGAACGACACACTCTTGACCAGAGATCCTCCACCTTCACGCGCTGAGGCTATCTCTGGAAGCCACGCCAAGGCAGGCTTTTCTCAAGAGGTGTCAGATTGCATTGAGCAATCAATCAGGGCTTCCTCTTCTGCCGTCTACCAGTCACGTTGGATGATCTTCTGTGATTGGTGTGTCGGCAAGGAAGCTTATTCATTCGAAGCCTCTGCATTTGATTGCGGAATTCCTAATCTCTCTGTTTAGGTACCGCTATCTGCCACCTGGCACTATTGCTGGCTATCGTACAGCTATTGCCAGAGTTCTTGCTTGTTATGGCAGGAAGGAGATCGGTTAGTCCTCCTCTCTTTCTGCCCTAATCAGAGGCTTTGCTATGAATAGAGTTGTTTTTAGCGAAGAATCAGGTTCCGGGGTTCTCGCACGATCCCATCAGGATCCTGGCTGTGACTAGCTCGGAGGAGCGAGATAGGTTGCTTTGTCCTTGTCGGGCTCTTAGGTTTTATCTTGATAAAACCAGGGGGGGGCGGGGCTCTCGATCCCGTCTGTTTTGCCCATTAAACAGGGGCAACGAGATATCTCCTCCCAGTCGGTTTCCAGGTGGGTTTGCCAGGTGATTTAGTATGCTTACGAGCATTTTGATGATCTGGCTCGGGCGAGAGTGAAAGCGCGGTCTCACGAGGTCAGGGCCCTTGCTTCATCCTGGGCCCTTCTCTCAATGAGTCCTCCTTTCAGGAGGTCATGTCTGCAGTATTCTGGCAGGACAGGGATACCTTAACAGATTTTTATCTGTGATCCCTAGCTTCCCACTCAGAAGGCCTGTATTCATTGGGACCTTTGGTGGTGGCATAGTCAGTGGCTGGGCCCTCCTCGTTAGCCCCGGGCCATGTCTTTCCGTACGGCGGCATGTGGGTACACCTGCTCTTTCACAGAGAGGTCCCTTCCTTCACTTTAGCACTCTGTTCTCCCTCCCTACTACTTTGGTTGTGCTGAAGGGGCTGCCTGGCTTCTAGTCACCACTACGGTAAGACGAATTCGCATACTAAAGTTATGGTAATTATTACTGAAATGAAATTGAGGTTTTTTAATGTAAAACCAATTTTCATGATGTAATACTTACCATAACTTTATGGAGTCCCACCCTATCCTCCCCTCTTCCTTATCTGCCTGGCTGCCCCTCTGTGGGGTTTACGCCATAAAGGTTATTAGAGGAAGGGAGATCACTCTGCGTTCCTGCCGTGATGGCTCATGGATCGTAGGGAGGGCGGGATTGTTTTTCTTTTGAATCTTTTGTTGTTGGGATACAAAGATGGGTGTAGGTACTGTATTTGCATACTAAAGTTATGGTAAGTATTACATCATGAAAATTGGTTTTACATTAAAAAACCTCAATTTTACAAACATTTAAAATATGACATTGTAATTTTTATCTTTATTTCGCCCAAAAATGTAAGTCTGGTCAATAATGTTTAGAGATAAATATGGACAGAAAACACCTATGGACAAATCCTGTATATAATTTGATACAAATTTGATCCCATCTCCCTGATTCTTCAAGGGAGCAGCTAAACATCCATCATTTTTCAACAAAAAATCTTACCTGAATGCTTCACCTGTTTCATGAGGCCTGCTCCTCCCATCTTGAGGATAGCATTTGACACTTTTCCTGTGAATATTAAAATATCTCTTTGAGATATGTACAGCTGAGATATCCTGCCATTCAAACCAATATTTTGACAAGACCAGATAGCCTTGTATATTCTAGTAAGACAAATTTAGGAATTAAGATAGTTAACCATGTCATAGATCAGTTAAAGATACTTAACTATATTATAGATCAGTTAAAGATACTTAACAATATTATAGATCAGTTAAAGATACTTAACCATGTCATAGATCAGTTAAAGATAGTTAACCATGTCATAGATCAGTTAAAGATAGTTAACCATGTCATAGATCAGTTAAAGATTGTTAACCATGTCATAGATCAGTTAGTTCACAATGGACAACTAATTCAGACAGACGTCAGCAGACTAACAGTTTAATAGCACAGCTAGTATTTGAATTGCTTTTGTACCTAAAGCAGCTTGAAGACGAGAAAGTGCAATTTTCCAGCTAACAATTTCTGCAATCCAGAAGGTGTTGTGTATGGTGGTCTTACATGTATCTTCTATGCTATCAATCAATTGCTTATGTGTATAATCATACATCTTTTCAATTACAATTTTCTTTCAACTTAAATTCAACTTTGAAGAAGTAGTCGAGCTATTTGCTAAATTTGACCATCCTATTGTGAAGGAGTTTCAACATCTTTTACATCTTTGGGGCACCATTTAATTTTTCCACATCAGTTTCAGACTTCAACAACGACTGAAGAGATAACAACAAAATCATGGCATTACTGAACAGTAATGAAAATAACCTCTTTAATGTGAAATTCAGTAAAAGCAACAGAATGACATTAACCTAGCTTGATGAAATAACCTATTTGCACAGATATGTACTAATGATAGAAGGTGGAGAAGGACATGTTTTGATAACTATATTATAGTCGTTCTTGTCATTACAACACAAAATTGCACTTTTGCCTTTCCATTCTTTGTTTAAGGTTCATCACAAAAATGACAAACAGCAAATAAGCAGAAATATAAATCTAAAACTGTCATTTTTATGTTATTGTTTGTTTTCAAGATGATAAAAATAAATGAAAAAGTACTTGTAGTCTGATATTGGTCTCCCTTTCCATTCTGTAGAGCAAACCATTTAATATGGCATGAAGTTTTAACTTTATATTTATCAATTCATTATATAAGTTCATATAGATATGTAGATATACCTCTTGTAAAATCAAATTCAGCATTTGTTCCATTCACAATGGCATCAACTTTTGCCTGAGTTATGTCCCCTTGGTAGATCTTCAGTGTAACATTCCCTAGTTCCAGATTAACCTCTTCATATCTGCTTCCATCCTGTGATGATTTCGCTGATGCACCTGTTACAAAAATCAAAACTGAATATAACTGAAAGGACAACACTTTCCGACTAGAGAAATCTTTGGCTTGCTATCCCTCTGCCTGATCCATCCAGGTTAAAGTTTCTGTGTTACGGGACATACATTGTAATTCATTTTCACATACAATTATTTTTTTCTGAATAAGACATTTTCTATTTTTTCTCTTTGTTTTAGCAACAAGTTGGGTTTTTTAAAATAAAATTCCATCGTTTATTACAAGGTAATGTTATGATGCTTGGATATCAAAAAAAAAATTAATGTGAAAATGCTAAGTTTTCATTTGATTTAACAAGCTTTAAACTGCATATAACTAAAGAAACAAAAAATGATTCAATCCTTTATTGGAACATCTTCTAGAATAAAACCTTCTTAAGATTTTATATTTGAACAAATCCACTTTCAAGGATACTCTTTAAGGGTTTTTTTATGTTATAAAGAGGGGTCTCCATGCTTTAATTTGTGCAATTTTCACCCAAAAAACCAGGTTTTCCAAGATCAAGAAACAAGCTGAAATAATTATTTATTTCAGGTTCTGAATATCTGGGAAAGTGGTCCATCAAGTCCATATTTAATCATTTGAAATCTGTGATTTGTGGTGATAATTCATGCAAAATTAAGTTGAAATCTACTAAAGGCTTTCAGAGCTATATGTAGTGGAAATTTAGATGCCTGTAATCATAGGGATTACAGGTGGTAGACTTTTTTTGTCCCACAGGTTTGTGGTAAGCTGCATGCCACTAAACTTGAACCAATTTTCTCCTCGCAGAAGTTACTTACTCTATTTCCTCACTCACCTCCTAAACTTCAAAAGTTAGTTCCATAGCATCACTGATAAGTCCTAGAAGGACGAGACAGCTGTGTGATGTAACATTACTCATGAGTCCTAGAAGGACGAAATAGATGTATGATGTAGCATCACTGATAAGTCCTAGAAAGACGAAACAGCTGTATGATGTAGCATCACTGATAAGTCCTAGAAGGACGAACGGCTGTATGATGTAACATCACTGACAAGTCCTAGAAAGATGAAACAGCTGTATGATGTAGCATCACTGATAAGTCCTAGAAAGACGAAACAGCTGTACGATGTAGCATCACTGATAAGTCCTAGAAGGACGAGACAGCTGTGTGATGTAACATCACTCACGAGTCCTAGAAGGACGAGACAGATGTATGTTGAAGCATCACTGACTAGTCCTAGAAAGACGAAACAGCTGTATGTTGAAGCATCACTGACTAGTCCTAGAAAGACGAAACAGCTGTACGATGTAGCATCACTGACAAGTCCTAGAAGGAAGAGACAGCTGTGTGATGTAACATCACTCATGAGTTCTAGAAGGATGAAATAGCTGTTTGATGCAGTTTAATTTATTGGTTGGCTCTCCTGTATCTATGTTATTCTACATTTGTATTAATAACCACTATTCTCTAGTGTTTCTTTTGTACAATCTTGGTTACCATGGCAACCAAATGACATTGGTGAACTTTGGCTAGTTTTACAGATTAAAATGTGATTTCATGTAATACTCACAGAAATTAGACTTGGTTAGCATGTTTTTAGGACTGATCTGCTAATCTCACTGATTAGACTGTCTCATGATGCCTGGCTGCAATGTAGAGATTGATGTCGTGATGCTGTTTTGAGAACATATCAGTCGGCTGTTCATGAGATATCTTTAAGCCAAGCTTTGCAGGTCTAACAGGAAAAATGATAGTATGCTTCCACCTAGGATCAACTCCGCCACCTCCAGGTTTCTAGTTAGATGCTCTACCATTGAGTTAAATGGAAATTCCCTCTCGCACAAAGCTAGAGTTGGACCGTGATCCTATGTATAATTAAGATCTACCACACTACTCCCCCTCTTTTTAATGTGTACGCCCCCAAACACCACATCTACTCAGGTTCCAACTCACTGTCATCACAGGAAGGGCCGCAGTCACCATCTGTTACAGGATTGGGATTGAACCCACGACCTCCAGGTCTCTAGTTGGATGCTCTACCACTAGGCTAAAGGGAAATTCCCTCTAGGGTGAAGCTAGAGGTTGACCACAATCCTATGTACAATTAAAATCTATACACACTGGCAATTGTGCACACAGACTCACTGGCCCCTCCCTCCTTTACTGGAGACGGCAGGGAAGAGGTATAAAATTGAAAGATGATTAAAGACTTCAAGGCAGGTTTTATTTTTGGACATAATGCCTTTATTATGTAATGCCACACAAATATCGATGTAGACAATAAAAACACTAATAATTAATCACAGCATGACAAAGTAGCACTTTAAAGTGTAACTCATTAAACAGAGAGAGGATTTAAGTTACATTTCTTTTTTTCAAAAGAGAATGTAGGAATTTTTTAGTCATAGAGAGAGGCAATGAATGGACCTGAATCGCCCAAATGTTTTGCAACTTTTATAGAAGACTTTGTCCATTAAGTAATTTCTGCAAACATGAAGTCAAAGTCCCAAACATGCTACCATAAAAACACCACAACCATTAGACCTGTTATACATGCAAATAATGTTAACACAATTGACTCCTGTGTCATTTGAAGTGCATCTGAGTTATTCCATTGAACTAATTTGGTAGCCCTTCAATCTAGTATGCTATTAGCACAATATCCTGACCTTGTTTCTCTTGCATGTTACAAAAACATTTTAAAATAATTGCCCATGTGACCTGGAAGATCGGGCCAGGTCATTAATTTTCATAAACCAAGTAGCCATTCATCTGAGCATGTTATTCTCCTAAAATCATGACCTTGCACCTCATGTTTACCAAGTTTAAGTCATTTAATAATTTCAAAAAATTTCATCCCTGTGACCTTGAACGTGGGTCAACATCTCTCATTTCAACAAACTTGGTAGCCATTGAAAAAAGATCAAGGTTATTCAGTTGTATAAATTTTGAAGTCTTTATCTCAGCATGCTACTTGATCAGTATCAAAACCCTATGTCTCTTGGTTAATAATAAGTTTTTAAAGAGTTTTAACACATTTGACCCAAGTGACTTCAAAACTGGGTCAAGGTCATTTACTGAGTGCACTGCATCTCAGCATGTTACTTGCCCATTATCATCACCCTGTGTCCCTTTGGTTATTGAGAAGAAGTTGATTGAAAAAATCAACACATTCAACCAAAATGACTTTTTAAAGTAAGTACAGGTCATCATTTTGACCAAAACTATCAACCTTTTATCCTGTCATTTATCCCAGCATGCTGTAGTGGCCCAATATTTTGATCTTGAACCTCTTGGTTATTGAGGAAAAGGGAATGATGATGGCTGTAATATGCCATGGCATCAAAGCACTTGTCACCTTACCATAAAAAGTCATCTTGTCAATAATCAACAATTTCGGCAAAGTCATGTAGATAATTTTAAGCCTATACATCTACACAGAAAGCAGTTTAATAATGAAATGCTCTAGTTCTCGACCATTTACCAAAACAGTGTCAGGAACTTAAACATTTGACAGCTTAATCATACAATGTCCACATAGCTTGAATTGTTCATCAATGCAGTCTTTTTTATCATGGCATTTTTCTCCACAATGCCCACAGTTAATCTGCTTATCCCTTCTAGTCAAGGCCATTCTACAAGAAACACACAGAACAATTTTATAAAATTTCTTTTCCAGAAAATTCTCATCTGGAATGTCAGCCAAACTCGATCCACTGACAATTGGAAATTCAGTCAAACTGTTTGATGAAAAACATTGAACAAGATGGCCCCTCATCCTGGAGCAATCCCACACCATGTGGGATGGGTCATTGCCATTTGCTAAGCTTACCATAGCAGCAATGGCAAAAAGTCCACAATCCCCTTTAAAATTCTGTTTCTGATATTTTGGTAGTTCCAGTTTAAGAAACAGTTCCTGGGGCTTCAAAAGACACACAACATCTAACATTAACTGGGACGTGGGATCTCTGTAGAAACTATCATATACTTTGACATGACCTTTTAACCCCTGACCCAAAAGGTTAGTGAGGGTCACCCAGTGGTTTTTACCCGTGTGACAAATCTGGATGAATTGCCTTTGGTATTTCTCACTGATGTTCTGTACTGATGCTAGTGCTACAACTGATGCATCCTCTAACCCTCCTATATGAGGGAACTGTTTTTTTATAATGCCCATTGCTTTGTCTATATCTCTGTCTTCAAGTCGGTAATTTGGACCAAGAATTTTGTTTCCAATCTTGTCCTCTAATATTTCTGGAAATGATTTAGAATGATGGTATGGTCTTTTATCTAAATCTGACCCTTGACCTTTATAAAGGTTACTAGTTAAGATATCTGACTTCGAACGATGTAAATGTCTTATATGATCTTCATCTTCCTCTAGGCTTTCACTGTCTGCATCGTTGTCAATGCTAGCAAGGTTGGACACTGGGGAAGCTCTTGTAAGTGGTGAAGTGGGATATCGGGATATCACAGGGGGTGTGTGTAATGATAAAGGTGCTTTGAACATGGCAGTGTCATCAAGTCTCTCTGTGGAAGTCGAAAGTCTGGAGGATACCCTGCCCATGGCCAAAATACCTATCAATTACACAAACAAATGCTGGGTTTAGTGAGAGAATTGATTTTTAGTCTACTAACATATCAATATCAAACCTGAAATATTTGTAAAATTCCATAATCGTTACTATCATTATCTTTATCAATTACCCCATGTTCTATTTTTTCATCAAATAATTTGATTTCTGTCTTGAAATATTCTAAAATTGGGTCAACTTCATTCATTCGAACAAGTTTTGATAACCATGTAACCTGGAACGTTTACTAAAACTGTTGCTTAGGACTAACTAATACCAGATATCCTCATATGCTGTCTGATTGTAGCCCCTACAGGGGCTCAGAAACAAGTGACCATTAACAAGTATCAAGAGGAATAACTGGTAAAAAGGACAGATAAACTCAAAGGTAGTAAATATAACTGTGTAAATATAAGGTGTTATATATGCAAAAAACATTTGCATATGACCTTTGACCTCTAAAGGTTGTCAGAAGTGTTGCTTGCTTCAATGCCTCTAATACTCTGATAAAAATAATTCATATTTAAACGATATTTTAACTGTTTTCGAGATAAAAAGTCATTGGCACAAGTAATGTTTCAATAACCAACACCAAGGGCAATAACTGACAAAACAACACCATCGGAGAAACATGATAGGAGGCAAACAGTACAGCTTATGTAGACAACACACTACTAACTGGACTGTTATTTAAGAAACAAGAGAATCACTAGAAGTGATAAATGCTCCCTGAATAAAAGCTACCCATGTAATTGTAGTTCCAAAAGGGATAATTTTGGCAAAATTTGAGTATGAAAAATTACGAAGGGCAATAACTCCTAAATTACGTAAAGGAGAGTTATAATTCTTGTACACTGCACTTCTCCTTGTGGAGATCTACCTGTAGAAGTTTTATATTGATATTTTTTTATGTGATATATTATGTGTTATGCTCCAGACAAAATTATGACAGATGATCAGGCAAATGGACAGATGAACGGATGTGGTAGTGGACTTCAGGTTCTGTACATATTCCACTTGAGTGTCCTATGATTCTTTACATCAGATCTAGCAGACATCAACTTTTATTAATAGTTTAATATACACATTATCCTTTATGAAGTGGTATAGGAAGCAGCTCTGGCAATTCTAAACTTGAGTTTTGAGGTCTAATTCCGCATCAAAATGATGAAGTTTTCATATAATTATTATATCCCTGTCTTCCTAATTGGCAATGGACAATATATACACATGAGTAATTACCAGGAATTCTCCAAACGTAATTCACCTTCCTTAAGGTCAGAGGTCAAAATATATAGAATGCAATGATCATAGGCTTTGTGAATTCAGATGTAACCAATGTAAAGTTGAAGTATAAAACTGTATGCTTGAGAAACACTTCTCATAAATACAAATCATAGAAATGTATGCATACACACATAAAGTCATGGATTTAATCTGTGACTTCTGCAGGGATTTTAGGGGTAATTTGTCCCCAGCTATGTCATAACGACATCACTAGTTACACCCACAAGATCTTGGAGTTTACAGTACAGTATATAACAGATATTCTCAATGTTTTTGTCTAGTGGCAATGACAAAATCACAAACACTACTGATATCTCACAAGTTAAAACTCTCACTTTAGAAAAATACTCGTCCCCTCTATAATTTTACAAACCTTGATGATGGTGTTGACCATAGTCTTCCTGACTAGGAGTTCTGTATTGTCTAGAATATCGGTTTCCACCCTTAGCAGGAGACTTGCCTTGAGACTGTTCTGCAGTTTCAAAGGCCTGAAAGACAGAAAGACAATGTTATAAGACCCTGTTGGTACAGGAGACCCAGTGTCCTATCATATTTGGATCCCCCATCAGAAAAGGATCCGGATCATTTTACTGGCCATCAGAAAATGATCCCCCCTATAGTATTTTGATCCCCTTAAGAGAAGTTATATTAACAATGCATATATTTAAGGTGATAGTGAAAATATGATGATAGGGGTTATGTTAGCTGTGAAGTTGTTAATTACACCTGGCCAACCAGTCAACTACATAAGAGGATTAAGGGTAGAGGGGTTAAACCTGAGTGAGCATATACCGAGTGATCAATTAAAGTTACCTGTGGATAAATTCCATTACAGATTGATTGAGGTCATCATTTTACATAAAAAATGTGTTTAATATACATTTTCCACTTTAAAATTAATATATTCATATTTGCATGAATATTAAAACTTGCAAATAAATTGCTTAACAGTTATCTAATTGAAAAAAAATGCATGCTATACCTGTACGTGTGTTGGATCATTAGGGATTTAATTTTATGTAAAAACGCCCTTGATTTTATGAGAAAATAACTGATATCTTCTTTCCCGTAAGTGACTTGATTAATAAAAATGGGTCTTAGTGTACATTATTGGTAAATAATTATTTCCTTTTTACCTCAGAAGTTATACAATGGTTTCTTATTTATAAATATATATTTACCTCAAAGTTTTATAAATATGTTAGAACTACTAAAGACAGACAATATGTATTGACAAATCTGAAGCAAACTGTGTCCTTATAAAGTTCTATTGATTTATGAGCTACAATGTGATGTGGTCAGGCCTTTATTCCAGTCAATCATCCATAAATCAGTTGGGTGTGAGTTTCCATACATCCGAATGGTTACTAGGGTCTTCAGGAAAAGTTACATATCTGTGACAACATACTTATTTGACCTTTGAACATGTACGAAAAAATCAGTAAATTTTATTTCAAAGTTCAGAGTTACATGGGGTTTGAAAGAATTGATAGAAATCATACAATTGCAATACTTGACCATTTTGGAATATAGGGTAGGAATCTTTATCAGCAGTAATACAGTTACAAATATGTACAATTGACTGACAGTGTTGATGCAGTCAAAGATCAACATTCACTGTCACAAAAACATAACAGATTCATTTATCCCTCATTTAACTCATATATCAAAGTTCAACTTTTACAAGCATTTTTTAAAACCAGGACACTTTCAATGTCAATAAAAGTTTGGTTATATTAAGACATTTTCAGTTCATGTAATTGTTAGTGATGTCATCAGATAACAACTGAATTCCTGTCATTTTTGGGGCCATCTTCTTCATTCACAACACTTTCTGTTACAGAACATAACCTGAATTGCTTTTGGAAGCAAAGAGTAAAAGATACAAAACAGCATCAAAATTTACATTTTTTGTCATATTTTACAAAAAGTGTGTTGGTGGTGGTTAGCATGTGACTCAAGTTTTAGTCATTTGTTTGGCAGGTTCTATTACCAACTAGAAGAAGTTCATCACTAAGGTCAGAACAGCTATGAGACTGTGAACAATTTTGTAAATATTTTGTCAACGATGTTAAGTCATAAACAATTTTGAAATCACTTTTATGAAAGTGTCATGAGCATGTAAGTTAGGTGTATACTTACTTTTACTGTGGGAACATCCTTGTCATAAATCACAAATAAAACCTTCCGCACAGGACTAGAAGGGTTCTGATTCGAGTACTTGGTCACTATTTTGTACATTTCCCTGGCCACAATGTCACGTGGGTAATTGAGGTTTCCTGTTCCCATGGCCGGAAAGGCTATAGACCCACAACCTCTGTTGGTTGCCTCTTCCAGACATGACATCATGAATTTCTGGAGAGTCTGAAGATATATAATGTATCCAGGACTGTAGAGTGTTAGCTCATGAATATCTAGATAATGAATGTTATCACAATAAGCATGTTTGTAAAGAATACCTGGGATTACTTTCTCCATTATTTTATCAGCTTGACAGGTTTTAAAGTCTGATAACTGGAAGGTAAAAACATGTTTACATTAAGTAATGAACTCATCATTTCTCTATCATTTCTTCATCCAATTTGTAAAACTATCTGCGACCACTAACACTTGACTGTATTAGTCACCAATCACAAATTCAAGTTCTTGTAAGCAGAATACACAGCATGTAAAGCAATGAAGCAGTTTATAAAAAGTCTTAAAATCGAGTACGGAAATGTTTATAGTAGTAAATTGTATCAAAACAGTGCAGTTTTGTGTGGACTTGTGATAGCAAGTAACAATTGGACACATCTAGATCTAAACCTTACCGCCCCCAGAGCAAAACCTTACCGCCCCCAGAGCTATGACACTATTATTATTTAGTACTAAGTTTGTTGAAGTGATACATGCCCCATACTGACCCCCAGAATTATATTACACCATATTTATTAGGTAAGAGTTCATTTTGAACCCCCCACCCAAAGTGGCTACCAATGGGTTATTATACCTGGTAAATATAATTAAAGTGTCTGAAAGGGTTAATTTTAAGACCATGCCCCAATTTTTCTTGGTACCCCTTCAAATAAACCCTTTAAGATACTTATTATAGCCTACTGGTAGTCATTTTGGGTGGGGGGGGGGGAGGGGGGGGGTTCAAAAGGAACTCTTTCCATTTATTTAGTATAAAGATCGTTGAAGCAATACATGCCCTGTACCAGCCCCTAGAGCTATATCATTTTTTCGTATCACTGCTTTCAGTTTAGTTGTTTGTATGCAATGTAAAACAATATCAATTTCAGGGTCTGGTTTATTATGCATTAGGTTTCCTTGCCATGTGTGAATTAGTTAAAATTGGATTAAGTGACATTTATCTTGGTGTGGGTTATTACTTATCATTAGTATTACTAAGTCCCATACTAAAATGTCTACAGACATTAGAAATAAACACTTCAAAAACTTAACACTGATAGTCAGATGGAGGGATGGATGGAGGGCTGACAGACAGGAAGGAAACCTATCATTCCCTGGATTTTACACCTGGATTTTACCCCTGGTTTTTACCCCTGGATTTTACCCCTGGATTTTACCCCCTGGATTTTACCCTTGGATTTTACCCTTGGATTTTACCCCTTGATTTTACCCCTGGATTTTACCACTGGATTTTACCCCCTGGATTTTACTAGTAACAAATAACACTCACAACCAGAGATATTGCTCCTCCATCCCAGCCTGGCAGAGAACCATGACAGACATGTTGACAATGGAGATTGTATCCTTTTGTGATGGCTACTTCACCAAATGAGATGCCCTGATACTTTTGATCACATTCATTTTGCATCTGAGGTCCAGCAGCAGTCAGAAGTGAGGAGGACACTGCTCCATTACTCAGTTTCAGGTCCTTGGAGCAGGTGTTTACAATCACATCAACCTGGTATTACGGTTAAAGTGATAATAATATAAATATGATGATTATAAAATGGTATAGCATTGTCATAAATATGAATACACCAGACCTACATGATTAGTGTCTGTTAACTATAAACATACTCATTAACCCTTCATTGACTCTAGACCTAATTGCTTACCCTCTGTTTACTCTAGACTTACTCACAACCTTTCTGCTGACTCTCAGTTTACTTACTAACCCTTTGTTGACTCTCATCAACTCTCTGTTTACTCTAGACCAACTTACTAACCCTCTCTTGACTCTAGACCTACTCACTAAACCCTGTTGACTCCAGAACTACTCACTACCCTGACCATCACCAACTTTCTGTTTACTCCAGATCATCTGACTACCCCTCTGCTGACTCTAGACCCACTCACTTCACTGTTGTTCACTCTTGACCTATTCACTAACCTTCCACTGTCTCTAGACTAACTTACTAACTATCTGGTGACTCTAGATTTACTCACTAATCATTTGTTGACTCTAGACCTACTGACTAACTCAGTTCCCTCTAGATATCATCACTAGCTCTATTGACACTACACTTACTCACCAACCCTCTGTTGACTCTAAACCAACTCACTAACCCTATGTTGACACTAGACCTACTCACTAACCCTCTGTTGACACTAGACCTACTCACTAACTCTCTGTTGACTCTAGACCTACTCACTAACCCTCTGTTGACTCTAGACTTACTCACTAACCCTCTGTTTACTCTAGACCTATTCACTAACCCTTTGTTGACTCTAGACCTACTCAATAACCCTATGTTGACTCCAGACCTTTTCACTAACTCTTTGTTGACTCTAGACCTACTCACTAACCCTATGTTGACTCTAGATCTACTCATTAACCCTCTGTTGTCTCTAGACCTACTCACTTACCCTCTGGTGACTCTAGATTCACTCACTAATCATTTGTTGACTCTAGACCTACTGACTAACTCAGTTCCCTCTAGATATCATCACTAGCTCTATTGACACTACACTTACTCACCAACCCTCTGTTGACTCTAGACCAACTCACTAACCCTATGTTGACACTTGACCTACTCACTAACCCTCTGTTGACACTAGACCTACTCACTAACTCTCTGTTGACTCTAGACCTACTCACTAACCCTCTGTTGACTCTAGACTTACTCACTAACCCTCTGTTTACTCTAGACCTACTCACCAACCCTCTGTTGACTCTAGACCTACTCACTAACCCTCTGTTGACACTAGACCTACTCACTAACCCTCTGTTGACACTAGACCTACTCACTAACTCTTTGTTGACTCTAGACCTACTCACTAACCCTATGTTGACTCTAGACGACCTACTCACTTACCCTCTGTTTACTCTAGACATACTCACCAACATCTCTGTTGAGTCTAGACCTACTCACTAACCCTCTGTTGACTCCAGACCTATTCACTAACCCTCTGTTGACTCCAGACCTACTCACTAACCCTCTGTTGACTCTAGACCTATTTACTAACCCTTTGTTGACTCTAGACCTACTCACTAACCCTATGTTGACTCCAGACCTTTTCACTAACCCTCTGTTGACTCTACACCTACTCACTAACCCTCTGTTGACTCCAGACCTTTACACTAACCCTCTGTTGACTCTAGACCTATTCACTAACCCTTTGTTGACTCTAGACCTACTCACTAACCCTCTGTTTACTCTAGACCTACTCACTAACCCTCTGTTGACTCTACACCTACTCACTAACCCTCTGCTGACTCTAGACCTACTCACTAACCCTCTGTTGACACTAGACCTATTCACTAACCCTTTGTTGACTCTAGACCTACTCAATAACCCTATGTTGACTCCAGACCTTTTCACTAACCCTCTGTTGACTCTAGACCTACTCACTAACCCTATGTTGACTCTAGACCTACTCACTAACCCTCTGTTGTCTCTAGACCTACTGACTAACTCAGTTCCCTCTAGATATCATCACTAGCTCTATTGACACTACACTTACTCACCAACCCTCTGTTGACTCTAGACCAACTCACTAACCCTATGTTGACACTTGACCTACTCACTAACCCTCTGTTGACACTAGACCTACTCACTAACTCTCTGTTGACTCTAGACCTACTCACTAACCCTCTGTTGACTCTAGACTTACTCACTTACCCTCTGTTTACTCTAGACATACTCACCAACATCTCTGTTGAGTCTAGACCTACTCACTAACCCTCTGTTGACTCCAGACCTTTACACTAACCCTCTGTTGACTCTAGACCTATTTACTTACCCTTTGTTGACTCTAGACCTACTCACTAACCCTTTGTTGACTCTAGATCTACTCACTAACCCTATGTTGACTCCAGACCTTTTCACTAACCCTCTGTTGACTCTACACCTACTCACTAACCCTCTGTTGACTCCAGACCTTTTCACTAACCCTCTGTTGACTCTAGACCTATTCACTAACCCTTTGTTGACTCTAGACCTACTCACTAACCCTCTGTTTACTCTAGACCTACTCACTAACCCTCTGTTGACTCTAGACATTCTGACTAATTCTGATCCGTGTAAACTTTTTCACTAACTCTATTGGCTGTAGATCTATTCAATCTTATGTCTATAAGCCCACTGACTTACCTTTTGGTGGGCAATCTGTCCCTTCACTAGATGTATGGAAATGTTTATAGCATTTTGGACTGAAGGAGAGTGGGATGGTACATCTACAACAGAATTCTTTTAAGTTATTCATCATCATAACAAGATCATTAGACCTAGTGACACCTTGTCTAATACTAAACTCTTGTTACATCAGAACACAATTTTTCCTTGGCCTATCACTAAAGGGTTCAGACTTAGTCAGTGAAATCACTATTAAAATTCCAGGCAAAATAAATGTATCATGACTGTTGAGACATTATTCAACATCAATAAAGACATGTGTTCATACACAAATCTCACACTGTATCACTGGTGTTCATACACAAATCTCAGACTGTATCAGTGGTGTGATACACAAATCTCACACTTTATCACTGGTGTTCACACACAAATCTCACACTGTATCACTGGTGTTCATACACAAATCTCACACTGTATCACTGATCTTCATACACAAATCTCACACTGTATCAGTGGTGTGATCCACAAATCTAACACTGTATGACTGGTGTTCATACACAAATCTCACATTGTATTAGAGGTGTTCATACACAAATCTCACACTGTATCACTGGTGTTCATCTCACACTGTATCACTGGTGTTCATACACAAGTCTCACACTGTATCAGTGGTGTGATACACAAATCTCACACTGTATCACTGGTGTTCATACACAAGTCTCACACTGTACACTGTATCAGTGGTGTGATACACAAATCTCACACTGTATCACTGGTGTTCACACACAAATCTCACACTGTATCACTGGTGTTCATACACAAGTCTCACACTGTATCACTGGTGTTCACACACAAATCTCACACTGTATCAGTGGTGTGATACACAAATCTAACACTGTATCACTGGTGTTCATACACAAGTCTCACACTGTATCAGTGGTGTGATACACAAGTCTCACACTGTATCACTGGTGTTCATACACAAATCTCACACTGTATCACTGGTGTTCACACACAAATCTCACACTGTATCAGTGGTGTGATACACAAATCTCACACTGTCTCAGTGGTGTGATACACAAGTCTCACACTGTATCAGTGGTGTGATACACAAATCTCACACTGTATCACTGGTGTTCATACACAAGTCTCACACTGTATCAGTGGTGTGATACACAAATCTCGCACTGTATCAGTGGTGTGATACACAAATCTCGCACTGTATCAGTGGTGTTCATACACAAATCTCACACTGTATCAGTGGTGTGATCCACAAGTCTCACACTGTATCAGTGGTGTGATACACAAATCTCACACTGTATCACTGGTGTTCACACACAAATCTCACACTGTATAACTGATGTTCACACACAAATCTCACACTGTATCACTGGTGTTCACACACAAATCTCACACTGTATTACTGGTGTGATACACAAATCTCACACTGACCACTGGTGTTCACACACAAATCTCACACTGTATCAGTGGTGTTCATACACAAATCTCACACTGTATAACTGGTGTTCACACACAAATCTCACACTGTATGACTGGTGTTCATACACAAATCTCACATTGTATTAGAGGTGTTCATACACAAATCTCACACTGTATCACTGGTGTTCATACACAAATCTCACACTGTTTAACTGGTGTTCATACACAAATCTCACACTGTTTCACTGGTGTTCATACACAAATCTCACACTGTATCACTGGTGTTCATACACAAATCTCACACTGTATTCCTGATCTTCACACACAAATGATTAACTTTTCTCCTCATTCCAGACCCTCCATCTCACTCCTTACAGTGAATGATTCACATTTCTCATCATTCCAGACCCTCCATCTCACCCCTTACAGTGAATGATTCACTTTTCTCATCATTCCAGACCCTCCATCACACTCCTTACAGTGAATGATTCACTTTTCTCCTCATTCCAGACCCTCCATCTCACTCCTTACAGTGAATGATTCACTTTTCTCCTCATTCCAGACCCTCCATCACACTCCTTACAGTGAATGATTCACTTTTCTCCTCATTCCAGACCCTCCATCTCACTCCTTACAGTGAATGATTCACTTTTCTCCTCATTCCAGACCCTCCATCTAACTCCTTACAGTGAATGATTCACTTTTCTCCTCATTCCAGACCCTCCATCTCACTCCTTACAGTGAATGATTCACATTTCTCATCATTCCAGACCCTCCATCACACTCCTTACAGTGAATGATTCACTTTTCTCCTCATTCCAGACCCTCCATCACACCCCTTACAGTGAATGATTCACTTTTCTCCTCATTCCAGACCCTCCATCTCACCCCTTACAGTGAATGATTCACTTTTCTCCTCATTCCAGACCCTCCATCTCACTCCTTACAGTGAATGATTCACTTTTCTCATCATTCCAGACCCTCTATCTCACCCCTTACAGTGAATGATTCACTTTTCTCCTCATTCCAGACCCTCCATCTAACTCCTTACAGTGAATGATTCACTTTTCTCCTCATTCCAGACCCTCCATCTCACTCCTTACAGTGAATGATTCACTTTTCTCCTCATTCCAGACCCTCCATCTCACCCCTTACAGTGAATGATTCACTTTTCTCCTCATTCCAGACCCTCCATCTAACTCCTTACAGTGAATGATTCACTTTTCTCCTCATTCCAGACCCTCCATCTCACTCCTTACAGTGAATGATTCACTTTTCTCCTCATTCCAGACCCTCCATCTCACTCCTTACAGTGAATGATTCACTTTTCTCCTCATTCCAGACCCTCCATCTCACTCCTTACAGTGAATGATTCACTTTTCTCCTCATTCCAGACCCTCCATCTCACTCCTTACAGTGAGTGATTCACTTTTCTCCTCATTCCAGACCCTCCATCTCACTCCTTACAGTGAATGATTCACTTTTCTCCTCATTCCAGACCCTCCATCTCACTCCTTACAGTGAATGATTCTACCAATCTAACACATAAATGAAGATGGAAACCTATCACTATTGGTAACATTCACTAGTTGTGTTTTTACATTGATTTTGAAGTATACCTGGTTGTGCCTTTTTCCAGCCCTTCCTTGGCTTGGGCTGAGGGGATGACCATTTTTCCCTAGCTCCTCCATTAGAACTTGAAACCTTGACATTCCCTGCTCCATATTGTTTCTGCAATGCCTTGATGAAATGGTCAACATTGCTTTGATTGACATCACACAGATAAATCTCCTGTATGTAAGATCTAGGATTGTCTATGTAAAATTCTTCAATAGTCTTTACAATGGCTTTGGTGGATTTGTCAGCAGGATAGCCAAAAACACCTGTAAATAGATACAACATTCCTTACAACAGTGACAGGATAGCCAAAAACACCTGTAAATAGATACAACATTCCTTACAACAGTGACAGGGTAGTCAAACACACCTGTAAATAGATACAACATTCCTTACAACAGTGACAGGATAGCCAAAAACACCTGTAAATAGATACAACATTCCTTACAACAGTGACAGGATAGCCAAAAACACCTGTAAATAGATACAACATTCCTTACAACAGTGACAGGATAGCCAAAAACACCTGTAAATAGATACAACATTCCTTACAACAGTGACAGGATAGCCAAAAACACCTGTAAATAGATACAACATTCCTTACAACAGTGACAGGATAGCCAAAAACACCTGTAAATAGATACAACATTCCTTACAACAGTGACAGGATAGCCAAAAACACCTGTAAATAGATACAACATTCCTTACAACAGTGACAGGATAGCCAAAAACACCTGTAAATAGATACAACATTCCTTACAACAGTGACAGGATAGCCAAAAACACCTGTAAATAGATACAACATTCCTTACAACAGTGACAGGATAGCCAAAAACACCTGTAAATAGATACAACATTCCTTACAACAGTGACAGGATAGCCAAAAACACCTGTAAATAGATACAACATTCCTTACAACAGTGACAGGGTAGTCAAACACACCTGTAAATAGATACAACATTCCTTACAACAGTGACAGGATAGCCAAAAACACCTGTAAATAGATACAACATTCCTTACAACAGTGACAGGATAGCCAAAAACACCTGTAAATAGATACAACATTCCTTACAACAGTGACAGGATAGCCAAAAACACCTGTAAATAGATACAACATTCCTTACAACAGTGACAGGATAGCCAAAAACACCTGTAAATAGATACAACATTCCTTACAACAGTGACAGGATAGCCAAAAACACCTGTAAATAGATACAACATTCCTTACAACAGTGACAGGATAGCCAAAAACACCTGTAAATAGATACAACATTCCTTACAACAGTGACAGGATAGCCAAAAACACCTGTAAATAGATACAACATTCCTTACAACAGTGACAGGATAGCCAAAAACACCTGTAAATAGATACAACATTCCTTACAACAGTGACAGGATAGCCAAAAACACCTGTAAATAGATACAACATTCCTTACAACAGTGACAGGGTAGTCAAACACACCTGTAAATAGATACAACATTCCTTACAGCAGTGACAGGATAGCCAAAAACACCTGTAAATAGATACAACATTCCTTACAACAGTGACAGGATAGCCAAAAACACCTGTAAATAGATACAACATTCCTTACAACAGTGACAGGATAGCCAAAAACACCTGTAAATAGATACAACATTCCTTACAACAGTGACAGGATAGCCAAAAACACCTGTAAATAGATACAACATTCCTTACAACAGTGACAGGATAGCCAAAAACACCTGTAAATAGATACAACATTCCTTACAACAGTGACAGGATAGCCAAAAACACCTGTAAATAGATACAACATTCCTTACAACAGTGACAGGGTAGTCAAACACACCTGTAAATAGATACAACATTCCTTACAACAGTGACAGGATAGCCAAAAACACCTGTAAATAGATACAACATTCCTTACAACAGTGACAGGATAGCCAAAAACACCTGTAAATAGATACAACATTCCTTACAACAGTGACAGGATAGCCAAAAACACCTGTAAATAGATACAACATTCCTTACAACAGTGACAGGATAGCCAAAAACACCTGTAAATAGATACAACATTCCTTACAACAGTGACAGGATAGCCAAAAACACCTGTAAATAGATACAACATTCCTTACAACAGTGACAGGATAGCCAAAAACACCTGTAAATAGATACAACATTCCTTACAACAGTGACAGGATAGCCAAAAACACCTGTAAATAGATACAACATTCCTTACAACAGTGACAGGATAGCCAAAAACACCTGTAAATAGATACAACATTCCTTACAACAGTGACAGGATAGCCAAAAACACCTGTAAATAGATACAACATTCCTTACAACAGTGACAGGATAGCCAAAAACACCTGTAAATAGATACAACATTCCTTACAACAGTGACAGGATAGCCAAAAACACCTGTAAATAGATACAACATTCCTTACAACAGTGACAGGATAGCCAAAAACACCTGTAAATAGATACAACATTCCTTACAACAGTGACAGGATAGCCAAAAACACCTGTAAATAGATACAACATTCCTTACAACAGTGACAGGGTAGTCAAACACACCTGTAAATAGATACAACATTACTTACAACAGTGACAGGATAGCCAAAAACACCTGTAAATAGATACAACATTCCTTACAACAGTGACAGGATAGCCAAAAACACCTGTAAATAGATACAACATTCCTTACAACAGTGACAGGGTAGTCAAACACACCTGTAAATAGATACAACATTCCTTACAACAGTGACAGGATAGCCAAACACACCTGTAAATAGATACAACATTACTTACAACAGTGACAGGGTAGTCAAACACACCTGTAAATAGATACAACATTACTTACAACAGTGACAGGGTAGTCAAACACACCTGTAAATAGATACAACATTCCTTACAACAGTGACAGGGTAGTCAAACACACCTGTAAATAGATACAACATTCCTTACAACAGTGACAGGGTAGTCAAACACACCTGTAAATAGATACAACATTCCTTACAACAGTGACAGGGTAGTCAAACACACCTGTAAATAGATACAACATTATTTACAACAGTGACAGGGTAGTCAAACACACCTGTAAATAGATACAACATTACTTACAACAGTGACAGGGTAGTCAAACACACCTGTAAATAGATACAACATTACTTACAACAGTGACAGGGTAGTCAAACACACCTGTAAATAGATACAACATTACTTACAACAGTGACAGGGTAGTCAAACACACCTGTAAATAGATACAACATTCCTTACAACAGTGACAGGGTAGTCAAACACACCTGTAAATAGATACAACATTACTTACAACAGTGACAGGGTAGTCAAACACACCTGCAAATAGATACAACATTACTTACAACAGTGACAGGGTAGTCAAACACACCTGTAAATAGATACAACATTCCTTACAACAGTGACAGGGTAGTCAAACACACCTGTAAATAGATACAACATTCCTTACAACAGTGACAGGGTAGTCAAACACACCTGTAAATAGATACAACATTCCTTACAACAGTGACAGGGTAGTCAAACACACCTGTAAATAGATACAACATTCCTTACAACAGTGACAGGGTAGTCAAACACACCTGTAAATAGATACAACATTACTTACAACAGTGACAGGGTAGTCAAACACACCTGTAAATAGATACAACATTCCTTACAACAGTGACAGGGTAGTCAAACACACCTGTAAATAGATACAACATTACTTACAACAGTGACAGGGTAGTCAAACACACCTGTAAATAGATACAACATTACTTACAACAGTGACAGGGTAGTCAAACACACCTGTAAATAGATACAACATTCCTTACAACAGTGACAGGGTAGTCAACCACACCTGTAAATAGATACAACATTCCTTACAACAGTGACAGGGTAGTCAAACACACCTGTAAATAGATACAACATTACTTACAACAGTGACAGGGTAGTCAAACACACCTGTAAATAGATACAACATTCCTTACAACAGTGACAGGGTAGTCAAACACACCTGTAAATAGATACAACATTACTTACAACAGTGACAGGGTAGTCAAACACACCTGTAAATAGATACAACATTACTTACAACAGTGACAGGGTAGTCAAACACACCTGCAAATAGATACAACATTACTTACAACAGTGACAGGGTAGTCAAACACACCTGCAAATAGATACAACATTACTTACAACAGTGACAGGGTAGTCAAACACACCTGTAAATAGATACAACATTCCTTACAACAGTGACAGGGTAGTCAAACACACCTGTAAATAGATACAACATTACTTACAACAGTGACAGGGTAGTCAAACACACCTGCAAATAGATACAACATTCCTTACAACAGTGACAGGGTAGTCAAACACACCTGTAAATAGATACAGCATTCCTTACAACAGTGACAGGGTAGTCAAACACACCTGTAAATAGATACAACATTCCTTACAACAGTGACAGGGTAGTCAAACACACCTGTAAATAGATACAACATTCCTTACAACAGTGACAGGGTAGTCAAACACACCTGTAAATAGATACAACATTACTTACAACAGTGACAGGGTAGTCAAACACACCTGTAAATAGATACAACATTACTTACAACAGTGACAGGGTAGTCAAACACACCTGTAAATAGATACAACATTACTTACAACAGTGACAGGGTAGTCAAACACCATTATACACTGTATCTATCACTGTGGCCAGTGGCAGAAGGAAAGATCTGGATGTGAATTAGAATAATTAAGAAGTGTTGTCATGACTGGCAGGGATGATTTCTATACCACCACAGAAATAGATGCTAATTGAGGAATCTATATATGCCCTTTATCAATATGCTAAGTACCTGCTCCGAGAGCTGGCAGTGCGATTGATGTCTGCTGGCGGTTGTCAGTCTCCTCTAGACACTTGAACACTGCCTCCTGTAGCAATTCCTTTTCCCTAAAATGCCCTCCCTGCCATTTTGGCCCAACAGCATGGGCAATGTAGTTACAACTTAGACTTCCAGCAATCCCAAAATACACATCGCCCTCCATCAGGTGTTTATGCGCTTTGATGTATTTTGAACAGTCCTGTTGTATGTTTTTCCCTCCTACAACAACACAAAATCAGTATTGGTGACTATTAATGATTGTAAATGTAAGTCCTTTCTCATCCACTGCAGTAGATGATAACTAAACATTCCACCATTGCACAAGACAGAAATAAGAAAATATAATTGGTCTGGCATACCCAGTCTGACCCAGAAAAATTGTGCAGACTCAAAAGCTTACTGCAACATGAAAATGAATTTTTTTTATTTGAAATATGAAATATTGGCTGTTCTGGATAAAGTACATTTCTCAAATGCTTCAATGAATGCTTAAGAGTGAATGAAATATGTGATCAGTAATAAGTTGGTACAATTTTTGCATAGGAATTTTATATTTTACCCCCCATTTCAAATATAGAATGTGCACACTATGACCTGCATCCTTCATACTCCAGGGATTATGATCACTTTTGATCTCTACACCCCTGGAACATGTCATGGCAACATTGAAGATTGTTCCATGTGCAACACCTGGTGGACGAAAAGACCAGTTTGATCCTTTGATGTACATCAAACGAATCTTGGGGTCAGTAATTTGAAATGACAGAAATAAACAATTCTAGGCCCTTTGGGCAGGCAAGCTAAAAACCCTTAGCCAGAATGGCCTCAGTGACACATGATTACTTTTACCTTTATCAACGATGGCCTTCGCAAGTCCTCCATTATGCAGGAGTTCCCTGTTAGCGGCATTGACCAGCACATCTACCTTCAGGTTGGTTATATCCCCCATCATAACTTTGAGGTGAAAGCCACGTTGGGAACAACTGGCCATTTCCTGAAAACCATCCCGTCGTCTTGGATCTGGAGTTAGACGAGTTCTGCCTCCATCTACATCATCTTCACTTTCATCACTTGGTACAATTACAACGCCATGTGATTTTTCTACTTGACTTATTTTTGGCATACTATCATCAGATGTCATAAGTTTTGTAATGCCTGGTTTTTTCAAGACATGTTCTTTTTTCTCAACACCATCAATGACCCCACCTATAGCCATCTTAGCTTTATTCAATCCTATCTCTGTTCCTTTGATTTCAATGCCAAGGTTGTTGACATCAATAGAGACTTGGTCTATTTTGTACTGATCTGCAATGGCTTTGATTTCTTTTAAACAGTGGACCTGTAGAAACCTCAACATCCCTGTGTTAACAGTTAGTTTGCTCTTGTATACAGTGTTCATGGATAAGAAATCAACAACTCGTTCTCTCACAGTCTCAGCATCTTGATCAGTAGAATATACAACAATACATGGTTTGTCAATCTCAACTTTCATCTGCACCAAAACACTGCAAGAACTTTTGATATCTTGCTCCTCGTTTGCCCATCGGTCAGATGACAGTAGTGGAGTGGATTCTTTCTTCACATCAATGATTGTCTCCAGAACAGAACCTTTCAGAATATGTGCTGCCCGTACTGCATCTTCATCTGCCTGAGCGAACACTACAAAACTATTGTCATTCATTTCCCAGACAGCTGTTATTTTCTCCTTTTTCATTTTTCCAGCTACATATTGTTTCACTGTCTTCTCCTGGAGGTAAGCATATTTCCCCTTGTTATAACCAGAAACCTGACTGGACACCATAGAATTTAAGATTTCATACATATCCACTTTTGCTGAAGTCACCTCACTATACAGACCTTCGTATGTTATTGTTCTACCTTTAAAATCTATCAAGATTTTCATTCCTTGATACTTCTTTTCCATTGTCTCTTTGTAATGTGTGATACTCAACATCATTACCTGGTGATGCTTTAATGGTGCTGTAGTTTCTTTAACCTGTTTCTTCTTTCTTTCTAACTCATCAGCAATCTCTTTAATGATTTTGTTAACATTTTCAGAAACATCAGTTGCAAATTTCTTATGTCCCATGACAAAAATTTCAAAACTGACCTTTTCCACGGCTACCATGACACCATCAGGGTGAGATATGCTCATGTTCTGGAGCTGTTCCATTACATTGGCCCACGCTTCCTGGAGAATATCATGTTTAAAAACAATCAAGACATCAAGAAACTTGTCAAGGCTAGACTGTGCTGTCTGCTTCCAATTTTTTGCCAAAGTCCTACAATCTTTAATATCTTTGGTCAGTAAACATTCCAGTTTAACTGGATCAGTTAGTTTTTCAGGCCAAAGAATTTTTGTATGATGTGTTTCCAACTGCTTTTCTAAACCCTCTTTGTTTGGTTGAGAAAATTTGACGAACTGGATTTTCCTGGGATCTATATCAGTGATAACCAATGTACCAGGAACCTTAAATTTGGGTCCATCTTCTCCAGAGTCACCTATCAGTTCATGGAAAAGTTTAACATGTAGGGTTTGTCCATCCACTGTATGGGAACGTGCACACACACTGTCAATCACTACAAAACAAAACACATCACAGAATTACATAATCATGAATATTTCTGTTTATAAAAGATGTCATCACTGATCTAGCACATTCCTTCGATATCTGTTGTAAAGAATTTCAATCTTTCTAACATTGACTTTAAAACCAGGGAATTTAGACTACTACAGCAGTGTATCAGATATCCACATTTCCATGTTACACAAACCTAAAAACCTCTCAAGTATTCCATAGTGTTCAAATCTCTATGACATCTAAATAGTAGGATACAAAGTCTTCAAAGTTTCATCCAAACAATGGAGTGTTGTATTCACAATGTCAATATAATGTTGGGGTACATATGTTTAAAAGTCAAATGTATGAAAAATACACACATACAAGGTTACATATACTACATTACAACGTCTAAATAGTGAGATACACAGTGTTCAAATGGGCTTTTACACTTAGGAACCAGAAAATGTCTATATAGTGTCCATTAGATAATTATTTACACTTACTCAGGAACCAGAAAATGTCTATATAGTGTCTATTAGATAATTTATGTCCCCATCCAGTCCAATGCAATTGAGAATCTGACCAGGTGTGAAACTTGATGTTATAGTACTTTTAGGTAAATTTAAATCAAATCTGTCAATCGGTCTTAAGATATCAATTCAGAACGCATCAAGTCAGGATGAGTTAGAAAGCACAGACATCGGCAATACTACATCTCTCCCAATGTCACACCCACCTATCCATTTTTAAATGGCTGGGCCATAAAAAGGAAAACACGCAGCATCCCTAATTACTGATTGTATTTGGTTTTAGCTATAATTATCCATTAACAATGTTCCTAACCTGGGGGGGTGGGGGGAGAGAGAGAGAGAAATGAATAGTGATATCGGTTGTTTCTTTTTTACATAGTCTACACACCACTGTATTCCTTTCATACCGATACGACAGCTTTATTAGTTCTCCTAGTGCCCATGTGCAATCTGGAAATTCAGGACTTAATATCCAGAGCGCATTAGGACCTGGATTGGAGTGAATCGCACTATACGTTCCTGATAGAACTGAATTGTTCATTGCTTCTCGCCACTTTTTGAAATAAAATTCCTCCACTATCCTACAAAAATAAGTTTTCCACAATATGCTTGTTGGACAGAAACCCTCGAACAAGAAAGCAAACATAATTTTTTATATATCAAATTTAGCCGCAGTTGCAAATATGTCGTGAATAAAACTTTCGGCTTTAAGAGTCATGCCGCCAAAAGCAAATGCACACAGTCAAATTAAAAACAGAATTTTCCAGACGCATTTGTTGCTCGCAAGGCACAGCTTGTTCCAAAATAATAATTTTCTCATGTCGACCTCGACGGATATATCTAACAGACCAATGGCGCGTGTTGTCACTAGCTTTGGAGATGTCTTCTCAAATCATTGACATCTCCTTGCTAAATATCTCGCACAGAATTTTGTGTAGGATTGGCCCACAATTCGCAACCGTAGAGAATGCGTGACTGTACTATAGCCTTTATTAGTGTGACGCCGCTCTACGTGACTGTACTATAGCCTTTATTAGTGTGACGCTTGTAAGCGGGTTCATTCCTACGCTGTGGAAACCTACACTTATCAGTGAATTCAACGACTTCTCACTTTTTTACACAACGTTTTTATGTTTTCGTCGCAGCGAAGGTTTAAAGTAAGAGTGATTCCTGCATACTCTTTCACAGTGACCCAAGCTATAGCATGCTCTCCAAGTTTGCACTCTGTTCTCGGAATGTGTTTTGATGTTCCATTGTGAAACTGCATCAATGAGCTCTTTACTGGATTATGGTTCAGACGCCATTTTCTTGAAAATTCATAAACCGTATCAAGGAGGCATTTCAGGTTACCAACTGAACAGTCCAGTGTATCATCGGCTAGAAATATTGCTGATATGTGCAGACTATGGATATTCAGGCCATAACTAGATGAGTCAAGCTCGGAAATAAGGTCATTAATCATAACCAGGAAAAGCCATGCCGACAAAGTTTGACCTTGACCGACGCCCTGTTCAACTGGATAGGGGGTTCCCTTTTTTCCTTAGTATAGCACACATGACGTCACTCCCTCAAAAGAATTCGCCAGAATACGCCATATTTTACCATTAAACCCAAGGTTGTAAAGCTTAAACAGGAGACCATTAATCCAAACACTATTGAACGCTTTTGCATTATCTAAGAATGCCACATAGACCTTCGTATTGAGTTCAAGGTGGTGGCAAATGGCTTCCCTAACAGCAAAAGCAGCAGTAATACTTCCAAAGTTTGGTCTGAAACCTTGCTGAAGACAATGTGGGAAGTTAATTTTTGTGCACACTTTTGATATCCTCTGGTATAACACTTTTTCAAATATTTTTGAAGCACAGGTGTTAGCGTTATGTCACGGTAGTTATTGACATCCAATCTGTTCTTTTTTCCACCCTTGAATAATGATAAGACGATTCCATGTTTAAAGCATGGTGGATAATCTTCAATTTCCAATATGACATTAAACAATTGAGATATCAATTTAAGGAGTTGCGCACCACCGTATCGAATATGTTCCAACACAATGTAGTCGTGGCCCCCCGCTTTACCGTTCTTCATGCCTTTGAAAGCATTCAAAACTTCCTGTTCAGTAATACGGTCTGACATACACTATTCGCATTTAGATAACTAATAGCACGAAGCTCGTGAACAGTGGAATCTATCTGATGCCTATCCACAGGGTCAAAGTGTTGTTTTTCTGTGATACTAGCAAGTTTGCTATAGTGATCGGTCCATGCTTTATGGTTGACATCTGCGTCACGCGATATCTTACCATTGACCTGTAGTTCTGATGTTTCATAACCTTTGACCTGTCGCGAACGGACAACTTTATAAAAAGTTCCAACATCAACTTCAGCTGTTTCCCCCAGCTTGCGTTCATATTCACTTCGAGCAATTTCAAGTTCCTTTACAAACATGCGTTTACATAATTTGTATTCTCTAAACGCGTCAGATTTCATTCCACGTGGTCTGCCTTCAGCTAACCATAATGAACGTTTTTCACACATTGAAGCATGCAATGCCTTAACTTGGTTATATTTCCAATACGGCTTAATAAACGAACGATATTTTTTCATAGGAAGAGTTTTCTTCGCAGCCTCGTGCATACAACTGATGAAGTTTTTAAATTTGTTATCTAGAGAATGCACATCAAACAAAACTGCCCGAAGACTATCATTTTCACAAAGCTCCCTACTAACATTTTGCGCGTATTCTAACTTTTGCTTGGCCATGCATTTTTTCCAGTTGACAGAATTTACACTACACACGTGCTTGCTTAAACAAACAGGAAGTCCGTAACGTAGACGTAAAGGAAGATGATCCAAAACATTTAAGTAATGGTCGTCGAGAATAGTGCAATCACATACACAATCAATTTTGCTATTTTCGATGAGGACATGATCAATGAGGGAACCTTGCCCAGGCCTTGGAAACATAACTGACATGCCCTTTGTCCATACTTGAGAGTTAACGGAGATCAGATGACGCTCATTGATGAATGTTTGTAATATTTTACCTCTCTCGTTTGATTTTTGATGATTTTTTATTCCAAAAGATTTGTTTATCTGCGCATTAAAATCACCCATTAGAATCACATGTCCTTGCTGGGAGAACCAATCATAGAGGTCCGATACACATCTGAGAGTGTCTACATATACCTTTTTAGAAACATTCGTCGAAGGCATAAGAGCCCCTATTAAAAACATGTGTGAATTGCCACGAAGTTGAACTGAACAGCATATAACCCTATCATTCCCTTCATTTAGAATAGGTAAAACAGCCATATCTTTTCGCCACATAAATGCAATTCCAGCGAATCCACGATTACACATTCTGTTTTCAGGCTCTAGCGCTATTCGTGCATCACAAACTCCATATGCTTTGAAATTGTTATCAATGGTATTCAAGAAATTCATCTGCTCTGGAAGAAGCCAGTGTTCCGTTATCAACGCAATGACCGTGTCATTTAACAGCTTAGATAGCATGGGAGTTCCATACATAATACCCCGTATGTTCCAGTTAAGCAATGAAATCATGATACATAGTATAAAAGCTAGGTATCTATTCAGCATTGTGAATGTCATGAGGATAGGTTATTAGAACGCAGTTTACCAGCAAAGCGATCATGATGTTCCCATTCGCGCACGAGCACATTTTCTGGCCAAAAATGAGGACTAATCGCCTGTTCGAAATCTTGCTCTCGAACGTTAAGCCGGACTGTTTACGTCGGTTCTTTACCTGACCAGTACTTGATTATTTTCATATATGTTACCTTTACACCGCCATCTGCTGCATACGTAACATTCGAGTCAATTACATCATCCTCCGAGGCATCAGCAATAATTCTAGACATAAGAAGTTGTCGTGTTCACGGCCTATGCTTTACCCCGCGAAATCTGTATGAGGATGAATTTTCCTCAGACGGGCCAAGCTGCTGCTTTGTATTGTACCCGAAGAATGTAACGTTTCTATGTGAATGATCCGAGCTACCATTAGCACAACTATTGAGCGAAACAGACAAAACTTTTGGCTCATCTGCCTGTGTCTCCGTATTTGTCCTCTGAAGGACCTCTGCATAAGCGGGTGACGTAGAACTCTCAAACCCTTGGTTGGTAGGAGAATTTTGATAAGAAGAGGCATTGGTAGTTGTTTCTGCTTTGTTATTTGTTAAATCGACAACATCGTCGTCGCACCTGTTATCGCGCAGTACTTCTGATACTTTGATTTTTTCGTCATTGACCGCGACGTTATTATCTTGCCTTATCAACGCTATAATTATACATTAACAATGTTCCTAACCTGGAAATAGGGAACTAGAAATGTGCTTACCAAAATCAACGTGGATTCTTCAAAAAAGTGTTTACCTATTTCTTATTTTTATGAAAGACCTATGCCATATATGTATGAATCTAGTCTAAATCATACCTGAGTGATCTTCAAAGTAGACAAGGTATGATCCATCTTCCTGATCTTTGACCTCTGTCACATCACCTCCCCCACTTCTTCGGGTATTTTCGAAGTAAAACTCCAATGTGCTGAGGCTGGTTTTTTCTGATGTTCCTTTTACAATGATACAGTTGGATATCGGCACTCGGTACACTTTCAGGAAATGCTTGTCCAACGCTCTCTTTTTACAAGCAAGTTCAAGTTTTTCAAAATCTGGAAAGGTGAAAAAATATCATGTGATCTAGAAAATAATGTATTACTAACTGAATGGTTCTCTAGCATTAATTTCAAAGGTGTTTAAAACAAGAGGCCAATGAGCCTTAACAGCTGAGATAAGAAATATTTCAGTCTACTAGACTAATTTTGGCCTCTCCCATCAGCCCCGGTAGATATGTGATCACTATAATCTGTCATTTGATACTAATTAATTCTAACCGAGTTTAAATTACTTCCAGTGGCTATTTAACAAACAATGTTCAAAAATATAATTTTCTTTTACAAACTTTTAAATTTAACCCTCTCTCCAGGAAAAAATGTGGGAGCCCAGGTTTACGAAGTTCACAACTGGAGTGAAACACCTTAGATCCTTCCATCTATGAAGAGTATTTAATTCTACCATTTCTGGATATTGAGAAGACTTTTTTTAATTTTAGCTAGTTCTGATCCTTTTTTACCCTACCCATCTGCCCCTGGGGATCCATCAGGGATATTTCTGACCAAGTCTGTATCATTTCCATGGCATGGTAATTAAACAAATCATTCTCAAAAGTGTGATTTCCTTATACATGTATAAAGTATGGATAAGATAACTCTCTTCCTTAGGGAAACGTAAGACCTCAGGGTCATGAAATTCACAATCTCTGTAAAGCACCATATAACACCATTTTGAAACAGCATTTGACTCTATCATTTCTGGGTCATAAGAAGACGATTTTTTAAATTGAATCAAGTTGATCATTTTTGGCTCTATTCATCAACCCCTGTGGTCAATCTCAGCCAAGATGTTTATACCAGCAAAATGTCATACCATGGTGCTAAAGCACCCTGGGCCTTTTGGTTACTGAGAAGAAATTTAAATTGAGTTAAGGTAATTTATTTTAACAAACTTGGTAACCCTTCATCCCAGCATGCAACAAGCCCAATTTCCATACTCTGGGCCTCTTCGGTTATTGAGGGAAAGTTAAAAATGTAAATTATTGTTAAGACACACGATTTTGTCTGGAGTGACCCTACAAAAAAGATTTATAGTATGTGTCATCTGTTTAATTTCTCTCTGTGTCCAACATAAAAATGCTTCTCAATGAAAATTCATGTAACATATAAATGTAAAATTCTGAAACTGATGGCATTCACACACACAACTTACATCAAAATCAGTACCCCACTCACCACCCATCTAAACTAGTCGCATCAGTCATCAGCAATGGTCAGACTATTATATACTGACACAAAAAATAAGGATCATAAACATATGGGAATTTTTTTTCCGCCATTGAAATAAATTAAGCTTGACACTACTTGACCATTGTTTTATCACCAATGTTTGCACAATAACTTTTCAGTATTGATTTGCCTGTGTAACCTACAGTAAACATGCTGCAAGACATCTTGTAACACAGGGTTAAAATCAAACTTGTGGTTTTATCATAAGTCTGTGTGGACTTAACGTCAATCAACAAATTCTGTGTATCTTCTGAAAGTTGTGTCATTTTGCATCCTGTTTTGAACATTTGTTAGAACAAGACGTTAAATGACAGCTGCAGAGGCTGGCCAAGTAATCTGGATACTGCAAGCAGAACAGTCACAAGGAACTGTGTCTGCCCACTTCAATTTGTCACAGAGTGTCATTTCTCTAATCAATTCCAGATGACATGAAACTTCACCCAGAGACCTCCATCAGGCTGACCACGGTATGCAACAGCTCATCAGAATCATTGTCTAAGCACTCTTACTAGGCGAAATTGGTTTGCAAGTTTCACTAGACTGAATGTCGACTTCAGTCAAACAACTGGAAGAAGAATTTCTGCACAAGCAGTGAGAAATAGACTTCACAACTCTGGATTTCATGCTCTCAGATCTGCTGTGTGCCATCAACTCACACACTGTATAGCTCGGCAGCATTGGGCAGCTGACCATCTGAATTGGCGACTGCGTCAGTGGTGGCCTGTTCTACTTATGGATGATCACAAGTTTTCGTGGGACTTTGAAGATGGCAGGAGGCGTATTGAAGGAATCAGATGTTAAATAACAAGGAAATTATAAGGGCATGATGAGGACCAAGTGATCAGTTCAACAAATCCAATCATCAGTATATTCAAATACTATAAATAATCTGTTAAATAATATGTTAGGCTGGAAAACGACATACCTGGTGGTTTTTCAAATGTCACCAGCACAGTGTCTTCCTCTTCTCCAGGTAAATAATTGGTAGGTGTCACACCGGCCTTTGCCTCCAAGAAATTCTCCAGTCCATCAGATGTTGTGTTCGGATTCTTTCCTTTAATGAGCACTTTATTTTCATACATTGGGCGTGGTTTTGGTGGCGGTGGTGGAATGTGTTCTTTAATCTCTAGAATGGCATCGTCAAGTTTATGTGTTCTCTCTAAGACAGCTTTCATCACTGAAAAGAACACAGAAATAGAATCATTCTTAAAACTGAACCTTTCAGTTCACTGAAAATAACACAAAAATAAAGTAATTCTTATAACTGATCCTATCAATTTTGTGTAACAACTTCATTATACATTAATAAAGAGCATTTTTCATTACTATCAGTCTTAAATAATATCATTCCACTTACACAACCCCTTAATGAGGATCCTTCTATCTCAGATACTGTCATTATAAACTCTTCGGGAAATATTTCATTACACCACGGAAAGTTTCAGATATATCTACGGTAAAATTTATTTCAGTATAGTGCTGAAAAAGAAAACTCAGACTGATAAATGTATGGTCAACCATTGGCAGCTATCTTTTGTAAATGACATGAGCTCATAATTAAAATGAAAAACCAAATCCTTAGAATTACCTTCTTCAGTTTCATATGTAACATAGATGACACCATCATCTATCTCTGAATCATCAAACTTAACAACATCCACAAACTTTCCAGCTGGCTTCTTGCTTTCAAAATAAAGTTCCACTGTGTCAGCACTGGTATCCTTCTTCATGCCACGAACCTCTATGGTATAAGACGGTTTTGTTTCCTCTTTGGGGCTTTCATCAATACTTCCTGAATTATAACTCTCTGGAACAAAGCGTTCTACTTTGATCTGTTTCTTTTCCAACAAAAATGGTACTTTTTGTAAAATGCGATCAACCACTGAAACAAATTAAATGCATCAGAACATGTATTAATTCAGGAATCATTACCAGTGATAAAACTGTAGTCACAATGTAGGCCACGATGCCAAGTATTGCTGAGGTAAGACATGTCCGCTACCCCACAATCTTCTGGACACAGCAATCTGACAGACCCCAAAGTCTACAGGACCCCACAACTTACCGGCCCCCACAATCTACTGGACACAGCAATCTGACAGACCCCAAAGTCTACAGGACCCCAAAGTCTACAGGACCCCACAACTTATTGGCCCCCACAATCTACTGGACCCTGCAATCTGACAGACCCCAAAGCCTACTGGACCCCACAACTTATTGGCCCCCACAACTTACTGGACCCCACAACCTGACAGACCCCAAAGCCTACTGGACCCCACAACTTACCGGCCCCCACAATCTAACAGACCCCAAAGTCTACAGGTCCGCACAACTTACCGGCCCCCACAATCTACTGGACCCTGCAATCTGACAGACCCCAAAGCCTACTGGACCCCACAACTTATTGGCCCCCACAACTTACTGGACCCCACAATCTGACAGACCCCAAAGCCTACTGGACCCCACAACTTACCGGCCCCCACAATCTAACAGACCCCAAAGTCTACAGGTCCGCACAACTTACCGGCCCCCACAATCTACTGGACCCTGCAATCTGACAGACCCCAAAGCCTACTGGACCCCACAACTTATTGGCCCCCACAACTTACTGGACCCCACAATCTGACAGACCCCAAAGCCTACTGGACCCCACAACTTACCGGCCCCCACTATCTAATAGACCCCAAAGTCTACAGGACCCCACAACTTACCGGCCCCTACAACCTACTGGCCCCCACAACCTGACAGACCCCAAAGCCTACTGGACCTTACAACTTACTGGCCCCCACAACTTACCGGCCCCCACAACCTATTGGACTCTGCAAACTATTACACTATAATGACGTTTAAAAATTATACTGTTTGGTGGTATTTGCAAAAAAGAAAAGTGAATAATTATGTATGTAACTACTTTTAATGTAACAATGCAATAAATGAATATGACAATCTGACAATACAGTTTCAGTACCAATGTGTAATTATGTATTATAGCCATATGTAGTTAGTGAGGTCTGATAAAAGAAAACTGTTCAGAATGAAGCCACTGGAGCACTGATTGCGACTTTCTTAACACCAATAAATCTTCTGTTAAAAAAAACAAAATTCAGACAAAAAAATATTACAGCATTACCTTTACTACTTAAGCCCAAGCACATTTTTGTTTAATTTTGTAAATCTAGAATTAGTTTCATAATTTCTGGCAGCAAACTGTTGGCAGCTAGAATTTGACTATAAAACTATCTGTTGAATTAAATTTCATCACTCAGTTTTCAATCAACATCAATCACTGGAAGACTTTGCTAGGATATTTGCCCTGAAACATGACAGAAAATAATCATTTCCAACTGGAAATTCACTTTGTTTATTTCAGTATCACTATCATGGCAGTATTTAACTGTTTCAGTGTCAGTATCATGGCAGTATTTAACTGTTTCAGTGCCAGTATCATGGTTGTATTTAACTGTTTCAGTGTCAGTATCATGGCAGTATTTAACTGTTTCAGTATCACTATCATGGCAGTATTTAACTGTTTCAGTGTCAGTATCATGGCAGTATTTAACTGTTTCAGTGCCAGTATCATGGTTGTATTTAACTGTTTCAGTGTCAGTATCATGGCAGTATTTAACTGTTTCAGTGTCAGTATCATGGCTGTATTTAACTGTTTCAGTGTCAGTATCATGGAGGTATTTAACTGTTTCAGTGTCAGTATCATGGCAGTATGTAACTGTTTCAGTGTTAGTATCATGGCAGTATTTAACTGTTTCAGTGTCAGTATCATGGAGGTATTTATCTGTTTCAGTGTCAGTATCATGGCAGTATTTAACAGTTTCAGTGCCAGTATCATGGCAGTATTTAACTGTTTCAGTGTCAGTATTATGGCAGTATGTAACTGTTTCAGTGTCAGTATCATGGCAGTATTTAACTGTTTCAGTGTCAGTATCATGGAGGTATTTAACTGTTTCAGTGTCAGTATCATGGCAGTATGTAACTGTTTCAGTGTCAGTATCATCAGGGGTCGAAATTAACTTTTTTAGTCACTAGCAAACCATTGCTAGTGCCTAAAATTTCCACTAGCAAAAATGATGAACAAACTAGCAATTTTTTGTGAATAAGTTTGACTTTTATTTACTGTAATATTGAGTTTTTCAGAAACTGAGTGATATTGGAAAAGATATCCAAGACATTGGATAAGAATGGCTGATTGCTACCTGTATCAATATTTTAAATCTATATAAACTTTGAATTTATCAGTTTTCTTTTTTTCATGTATGAGCTACATCTAATCTGACTGTCATATGATCAGATCCATTTATTAATGTAACTGTACCCAAATTTATATTATTTAACAAATTGTTCTCATTAACGATCATTTCAATAAATTCTTATGAAGACAACTGTTTAACAGAGTTCTGGACTTTTAAATTATTATGAAGACAACTGTTTAACAGAGTTCTGGACTTTTAAATTATTATGAAGACAACTGTTTAACAGAGTTCTGGACTTTTAAATTATTATGAAGACAACTGTTTAACAGAGTTCTGGACTTTGTTGTATTTTATTTACCAATGTCATGCAATTCAGTTCTTTTAATTTCACCAAAGATCATTCCACTCCATTCCAAGTCAAATACACTACTGGCAGAAGGTGGGTCGTTTCTTTCTTTGTCCCTCAACCCACCACCTATTGACAGCTGCCGTATATGCAAGTGGTTGTGGCGGTGATTTTATATCAGAAGCGTCAGGAGAAACGCGCTCCCATTTCGACAATTTTTTTTTCAGAAGGGCCAGGCTGTGGCTGTTGACTATTGTCTTGGTCATCGCAAGCACTGTCAGATGCTTTCCTTTTTGAAAAAGTTCGTCTTTATAGCCGATATGTCGCGTTTCACATGATGAGCAGACAGAAATCATAGAGTTTTCCAAGACAACTTTTTATTCAGTTTACACATAATTATCAAGGGAAAAACTGGAGGAATTCCGAATGTATTGATAATCTATGTCACTTTAGCATTTGTAACCTATTTACTCATTTAAAGGCAGACGGAGAAAGGCATTTTGTGGCAGATGTTTCGTCAAAAATAGTGATTAGGTATATTTCATTTCCACTCGCAAAATTTTGCTAGTTCATTATTTTCCTACTAGCAAGTACCAGATTTTAGCTGGCATTTTGCTAGTTGTATAAAGTTAATTTCGAACCCTGATCATGGAGGTATTTATCTGTTTCAGTGTCAGTATCATGGCAGTATTTAACTGTTTCAGTGTCAGTATCATGGAGGTATTTAATTGTTTCAGTGTCAGTATCATGGCAGTATGTAACTGTTTCAGTGTCAGTATCATGGTTGTATTTAACTGTTTCAGCGTCAGAATCATGGCTGTATTTAACTGTTTCAGTGTCAGTATCATGGCAGTATTTAACTGTTTCAGTGCCAGTACCATGGCTGTATTTAACTGTTTCAGTGTCAGTATCATGGTTGTATTTAACTGTTTCAGTGCCAGAATCATGGAGGTATTTAACTGTTTCAGTGTCAGTATCATGGCAGTATTTAACTGTTTCAGTGTCAGTATCATGGAGGTATTTAACTGTTTCAGTGTCAGTATCATGACTGTATTTAACTACTTCAGTGTCAGTATCATGGCAGTATTTAACTGTTTCAGTGTCAGTATCATGGAGGTATTTATCTGTTTCAGTGCCAGTATCATGGCAGTATTTAGCTGTTTCAGTGTCAGTATCATGGCAGTATTTAACTGTTTCAGTGTCAGTATCATGGAGGTATTTAATTGTTTCAGTGTCAGTATCATGGCTGTATTTAACTGTTTCAGTGCAAGTATCATGGCAATATTTAACTGTTTCAGTGTCAGTACCATGGCAGTATTTAACTGTTTCAGTGTCAGAATCATGGCAGTATGTAACTGTTTCAGTGCCAGTATCATGGCAGTATTTAGCTGTTTCAGTGTCAGTATCATGGCTGTATTTAACTGTTTCAGTGTCAGTATCATGGCTGTATTTAACTGTTTCAGTGTCAGTATCATGGAGGTATTTAACTGTTTCAGTGTCAGTATCATGGCAGTGTGTAACTGTTTCAGTGTTAGTATCATGGCAGTATTTAACTGTTTCAGTGTCAGTATCATGGAGGTATTTATCTGTTTCAGTGTCAGTATCATGGCAGTATTTAACAGTTTCAGTGCCAGTATCATGGCAGTATTTAACTGTTTCAGTGTCAGTATCATGGCAGTATTTAACTGTTTCAGTGTCAGAATCATGGCAGTATTTAACTGTTTCAGTATCAGTATCATGGCAGTATTTAACTGTTTCAGTGCCAGTATCATGGCAGTATTTAACTGTTTCAGTGCCAGTATCATGGCAGTATTTAAGTGTTTCAGTACCAGTATCATGGCAGTATTTAACTGTTTCAGTGTCAGTATCATAGCAGTATTTAACTGTTTCAGTGTCAGTATCATGGAGGTATTTATCTGTTTCAGTGCCAGTATCATGGCAGTATTTAACTGTTTCAGTGCCAGTATCATGGCAGTATTTAACTGTTTCAGTGTCAGTATCATAGCAGTATTTAACTGTTTCAGTGTCAGTATCATGGAGGTATTTATCTGTTTCAGTGCCAGTATCATGGCAGTATTTAGCTGTTTCAGTGTCAGTATCATGGCAGTATTTAACTGTTTCAGTGTCAGTATCATGGAGGTATTTAATTGTTTCAGTGTCAGTATCATGGCTGTATTTAACTGTTTCAGTGCAAGTATCATGGCAGTATTTAACTGTTTCAGTGTCAGTACCATGGCAGTATTTAACTGTTTCAGTGTCAAAATCATGGCAGTATGTAACTGTTTCAGTGCCAGTATCATGGCAGTATTTAGCTGTTTCAGTGTCAGTATCATGGCTGTATTTAACTGTTTCAGTGTCAGTATCATGGAGGTATTTAACTGTTTCAGTGTCAGTATCATGGAGGTATTTAACTGTTTCAGTGCCAGTATCATGGCAGTATTTAACTGTTTCAGTGTCAGTATCATGGCAGTATTTAACTGTTTCAGTATCAGTATCATGGCAGTATTTAACTGTTTCAGTGTCAGTACCATGGCAGTATTTAACTGTTTCAGTGTCAGTACCATGGCTGTATGTAACTGTTTCAGTGTCAGTACCATGGCAGTATTTAACTGTTTCAGTGTCAGTACCATGGCAGTATTTAACTGTTTCAGTGCCAGTATCATGGCAGTATTTAACTGTTTCAGTGCCAGTATCATGGCTGTATTTAACTGTTTCAGTGTCAGTATCATGGTTGTATTTAACTGTTTCAGTGTCAGTATCATGGTTGTATTTAACTGTTTCAGTGTCAGTATCATGGCAGTATTTAACTGTTTCAGTGTCAGTATCATGGCTGTATTTAACTGTTTCAGTGTCAGTATCATGGAGGTATTTAACTGTTTCAGTGTCAGTATCATGGCAATGTGTAACTGTTTCAGTGTTAGTATCATGGCAGTATTTAACTGTTTCAGTGTCAGTATCATGGAGGTATTTATCTGTTTCAGTGTCAGTATCATGGCAGTATTTAACAGTTTCAGTGCCAGTATCATGGCAGTATTTAACTGTTTCAGTGTCAGTATCATGGCAGTATTTAACTGTTTCAGTGTCAGAATCATGGCAGTATTTAACTGTTTCAGTATCAGTATCATGGCAGTATTTAACTGTTTCAGTGTCAGTACCATGGCAGTATTTAACTGTTTCAGTGTCAGTACCATGGCTGTATGTAACTGTTTCAGTGTCAGTACCATGGCAGTATTTAACTGTTTCAGTGCCAGTATCATGGCTGTATTTAACTGTTTCAGTGTCAGTATCATGGCAGTATTTAACTGTTTCAGTGCCAGTATCATGGCTGTATGTAACTGTTTCAGTGCCAGTATCATGGCAGTATGTAACTGTTTCAGTGCCAGTATCATGGCAGTATTTAACTGTTTCAGTGCCAGTATCATGGAGGTATTTAACTGTTTCAGTATCAGTATCATGGCTGTATTTAACTGTTTCAGTGCCAGTATCATGGCAGTATTTAACTGTTTCAGTACCAGTATCATGGCTGCATTTAACTGTTTCAGTACCAGTATCATGGCAGTATTTAACTGTTTCAGTGCCAGTATCATGGCAGTATTTAACTGTTTCAGTGCCAGTATCATGGCAGTATGTAACTGTTTCAGTATCAGTATCATGGTTGTATTTAACTGTTTCAGTGCCAGTATCATGGCAGTATTTAACTGTTTCAGTGTCAGTATCATGGCAGTATTTAACTGTTTCAGTGTCAGTATCATGGCAGTATTTAACTGTTTCAGTATCAGTATCATGGCAGTATTTAACTGTTTCAGTGTCAGTACCATGGCAGTATTTAACTGTTTCAGTGTCAGTACCATGGCTGTATGTAACTGTTTCAGTGTCAGTACCATGGCAGTATTTAACTGTTTCAGTGTCAGTACCATGGCAGTATTTAACTGTTTCAGTGCCAGTATCATGGCAGTATTTAACTGTTTCAGTGCCAGTATCATGGCTGTATTTAACTGTTTCAGTGTCAGTATCATGGCAGTATTTAACTGTTTCAGTGCCAGTATCATGGCTGTATGTAACTGTTTCAGTGCCAGTATCATGGCAGTATTTAACTGTTTCAGTGCCAGTATCATGGCAGTATTTAACTGTTTCAGTGCCAGTATCATGGCAGTATTTAACTGTTTCAGTATCAGTATCATGGCTGTATGTAACTGTTTCAGTGCCAGTATCATGGCAGTATTTAACTGTTTCAGTGTCAGTACCATGGCAGTATTTAACTGTTTCAGTGTCAGTACCATGGCTGTATGTAACTGTTTCAGTGTCAGTACCATGGCAGTATTTAACTGTTTCAGTGTCAGTACCATGGCAGTATTTCACCATTTCAGTGCCAGTATTATGGCAGTATGTAACTGTTTCAGTATCAGTATCATGGTTGTATTTAACTGTTTCGGTACCAGTATCATGGCAGTATTTAACTGTTTCAGTGCCAGTATCATGGCAGTATGTAACTGTTTCAGTATCAGTATCATGGCTGTATTTAACTGTTTCAGTGCCAGTATCATGGCAGTATTTAACTGTTTCAGTATCAGTATCATGGCTGTATGTAACTGTTTCAGTGCCAGTATCATGGCAGTATTTAACTGTTTCAGTACCAGTATCATGGCTGTATGTAACTGTTTCAGTGCCAGTATTATGGCAGTATGTAACTGTTTCAGTATCAGTATCATGGTTGTATTTAACTGTTTCAGTACCAGTATCATGGCTGCATTTAACTGTTTCAGTACCAGTATCATGGCAGTATTTAACTGTTTCAGTGCCAGTATCATGGCAGTATTTAACTGTTTCAGTGCCAGTATCATGGCAGTATGTAACTGTTTCAGTATCAGTATCATGGTTGTATTTAACTGTTTCAGTGTCAGTATCATGGCAGTATTTAACTGTTTCAGTATCAGTATCATGGCTGTATGTAACTGTTTCAGTGCCAGTATCATGGCAGTATTTAACTGTTTCAGTACCAGTATCATGGCTGTATGTAACTGTTTCAGTGCCAGTATTATGGCAGTATGTAACTGTTTCAGTATCAGTATCATGGTTGTATTTAACTGTTTCAGTACCAGTATCATGGCTGCATTTAACTGTTTCAGTACCAGTATCATGGCAGTATTTAACTGTTTCAGTGCCAGTATCATGGCTGCATTTAACTGTTTCAGTGCCAGTATCATGGCAGTATTTAACTGTTTCAGTACCAGTATCATGGCAGTATTTAACTGTTTCAGTGCCAGTATCATGGCTGTATGTAACTGTTTCAGTGCCAGTATCATGGCTGTATTTAACTGTTTCAGTGCCAGTATCATGGCAGTATTTAACTGTTTCAGTGCCAGTATCATGGCAGTATTTAACTGTTTCAGTGCCAGTATCATGGCAGTATTTAACTGTTTCAGTGCCAGTATCATGGCAGTATTTAAATATTTCAGTGTCAGATTTACCTTCTGGATCTTTAAATGTCAAAATGGCCATGGCTGATTCTTTCCGAAAGTCCACATCCTCTATTTCCCCTCCTCCACTTTTTTTTTTGTTCTCGAAAAACAAAGTAAGAGAATCTTCTGTGATGTTTGGAGGTAAATCTGTAACTTTGATCATACCCAATGGTTCCTCCCTTTCGTCATCTGTCTCCTCCTCGCTAATCACAGTTGTAGGGCCACATGTTTCTAGAGATAATTGGAAATCTTGTTAAATCGGAATGGGATATAACTTTTATAATTCAAAATATTTATCATTTTATATTTCTTTTGTTTTCTGATCATTTTTGCAAATAAACAATGAAGTTTGAATTTCAGGACTTAAATATAAATTAACAATGATTACTTTCATGCAATATAAATGATATTTTACTCAGTTGAAATCAATTTACACACTGCTTTCACAACAAATTGAATTTGATATTCAATTCAAGCTTTCATTTATGCTTTTAAACACAAATAGATATACATTAGAATATAACAGAAAAAATCAAAGTGTGTAAAAATACATCAAAATATATTTGACGAACACATAAAATTTGCGCATATAAAACATATTAATATTCATAAAGATCCTTCCACATACAAACCTACAATAGGGGTGTGAACAACCTTTCTTTTCAATCATTTCCAAAGTCTATATGCACATTAAAATTTAAGAACTATGACAAACACCTGTCCATTATAAAGATGCCTAGCATTCTTTCTCGAGATTTAACCCAAACGGAGATAGCTGCGTGGTGGCCATCTTGATCAAGAGGCATCAAAGACCTTGAGATAAAATTTCATAAAGTTACGTAGAATAATTTCTTGGAAAAAGAACAAATGAACTTTTACTCATGATGGTTCATGTTGGCCACTTAATCTGCTTTAGTCGATTGTACAAGAGGCCAAATAGACCTGAAATGCTCACCTGTTCTGCAGTTTTAAAAGAAGACTTTAGTGTCAGTTACTAAGAAAGTCAATTTCTGAAAATCCTACGTCCCAACTCATCAGAATGTATACATAAATACCATGACCATTGGCCTATTATTTATTGAATATAAAAAGTTCAAAGTTTAAGTAGCTCAAGGTATTTCATTTGACCTTCGTCCCTGCATGCTTTTGATTAATAACTCATTATCCTAAGCTTTTGATTATTGCGAAGAAGTCATCTTAAAGGACGCTACTGGCCCAGTATCATGATCCTGGGCCTCCTGGTGATTGAGAAGTCATTATTTAAAGATTTGAAGGCATCTGACCCAATGACTTTGAAATTGGATCAAGATCATTCAGTCAAACATGCTTGATAATTCATCCTGGCTTGCTATCCATTTTTACAGAAATGAGTCCCTCCACACAAGAATGCTTTAGAGAAAATTTTAACATAATTAGCTTCATCCCAAGAGATGAAAGGTTCCAAACATTTACCTCTGAATCCCCTAACCTGGCCCTCTGCTCTTCCTACTATAAATTTCAGTTCTTTTCACACAAAGATGCTTCTGAACAAATTTGGTCAAATTAACTTCAATATCAATTAATTACAACAATCTGATGATAGCAGACTTTAAATTATACAAAATGGACTTTGCTTATTTATATTTTAACTAATTTACCTAACTCATTATGTTCCTTTTACCAAGTATCATCTTAACACACTATTGTAATCATTAGAACAATGTCTTACCATTGTCATATGTATCAGATGAATCAACGCCTCCATCAGGTACATGGTAGGGTGACGATTGATTTGGAACATGTGGGTGAATCATCCTTGGAGAATTCTTGGGACCAGAGTGCATTCTGGGATGGACATGATAGGGTGGTGGTGGGTGACTTGGAAAAGGACCTTGAAATCTTGGGACATACTGGCCAGGATACATAGGCATGGAGTACATGGGTTCCTGTCCTGGTCCATGGTATGGCTGTCCATAGCTATATGGCATGGATAAGTAAGGTGCGTCTTGTTTCCTTTGCTCCTCTGATTTTACATCCTGTCCTGTTCTTCCATCTGAAGGATGTGACTCCTTTCCTTTAAGGCTTGATACCTGATCAATGTCTTTAACTGGATCTTGTGACAGATCAGATCTAGGTGAGTCTGTTGGTAAAGGTTTGTGATCATCTTCACCACTAACTCCCGGTAGTTTGCTCTCTTGACTTTGGACCTGACCATGATATTGCTGCCCAACTTGGGGCCCTGGCGGTGTGGAGGCCACAGGATAAATCTTATGGTCTTTGCCTTCAGAACCAGCAGGCCTCACTCCCATACTAGTTGGCCCTTGTGGTCCACCATAATTTGGGGGATATCCTGCATAAATGAGATGTGTAGTCCCCTGTTGTCCAGGATACTGACCATTTCCTGGATACTGGATGTTTGGATATGTAGGTGGCAGACCATGGTAACCATGGTGACCAGGGGGACCAGGGTAGCCACCATATGGGTCAAAATTTTGTGGTTGTCCTATTGGAAATCCAGGGGTACCTAAGCTCTGAAATACACAAATTCATGCTAATGAAGATTTCTACTTATTATAATGATAAGAAAGAGTTTTGAACAGGTACAGAAATTTTGCAACTTGGATGGAATATCCCTTTTATAGAATCAAACTTATTATGTGTTCAAATTTCAAAGACAGTGAATGCATTCCCCACTATAGAAATTACATTCCATCATTACATCAGTTGAAGTAAACTGGTAACTGGGATCACTGTCCAGTGATTATTCGTTAATATACTACTGGCTTCCCTCAGACCATTTTTACCTGTTGGTCAAACTTTTCCCACGAGGTCGGAATGTCACAAGGTACACAGGGCGTAATCTTCAATGAAATGTTTTGTAGATGAATTTCTGATCTTTCCAGAAAACTCTCAACCTCTAAAAAATGAAAATTCATACAAATTTATTTAAGACTACTAAATAAAACTGATAGAGTAAGATGACATCAAAAGAAAGTCGAGAGTTGTTCTCATGTAGTGTTGGCAGTGTTCATTCATATGTACTTCTACAGGAGCTAAAGGGGTTTGTGCAGTGTTTTATCTTCCAACCACTCTACTTCTTAGGTACAGGAGGCTTTGAGGCTTTGTCACAGTTAAATCACCAGGGTTGACTGTAGAAGAGTAAATTGCATAAAACTTCAGGTCACCGTAAACATTAAAAGATTTGGCAGGTTGACATTTCTTTTTCAGCAGAGTTTGATCATATTTCCTCTGAGAGAGGTTGATATATTGCAGTAGAAGTCCCGTCATGGGCAGGATATTTCTATTTTTCAATCAAGAAACAAATTCATCAATGAGTCCATAATTCTTTCAAAAGGATATTTGTGTAGAATCAATTAGATCATATGTCCCTGCGATTGGCTTAAAAAATGTAATACATGATGTGCAACATGAGCATGATATCTGCACAATGTGTACACGATAGGAAAACTGGAGAAATTTGCTACTGCACAATGTGTGTACGATAGGAAAACTGGAGAAATTTGCTACTGCACAACATGTACACGATAGGAAAACTGGAGAAATTTGCTACTGCACAACATGTACACGATAGGAAAACTGGAGAAATTTGCTACTGCACAACGTGTACACGATAGGAAAACTGGAGAAATTTGCTACTGCACAACGTGTACACGATAGGAAAACTGGAGAAATTTGCTACTGCACAACATGTACACGATAGGAAAACTGGAGAAATTTGCTACTGCAAAACATGTACACGATAGGAAAACTGGAAGAAATTTGCTACTGCACAACATGTACACGATAGGAAAACTGGAAGAAATTTGCTACTGCACAATGTGTGTACGATAGGAAAACTGGAAGAAATTTGCTACTGCACAATGTGTGTACGATAGGAAAACTGGAAGAAATTTGCTACTGCACAATGTGTGCACGATAGGAAAACGAGAAATTTGCTATTGCACAATGTTCACACGATAGGAAAACTGGAAGAAATTTGCTACTGCACAATGTGTGTACGATATGAAAATTGGAAGGGATTTGCTACTGCACGATGTGTGTACGATAGAAAAACTGGAGAAATTTGCTACTGCACAATGTGTGTAAGATAGGAAAATTGGAAAAAATTTGCTACTGCACAATGTGTGTACGATAGAAAAATTGGAAGGAATTTGCTACTGCACGATGTGTGTACGATAGAAAAACTGGAGAAATTTACTACTGCACAATGTGTATACGATAGAAAACTGGAGAAATTTGCTACTGCACAATGTGTGTAAGATAGGAAAATTGGAAAAAATTTGCTACTGCACAATGTGTGAACGATAGGAAAATTGGAAGAAATTTGCTACTGCACAATGTGGGTACGATAGGAAAATTGGAAGAAATTTGCTACTGTACAATGTGTGCATGATAGGAAAACTGGAAGAAATTTGCTACTGCACAATGTGTGTACGATAGGAAAATTGGAAGAAAGCTACTGTACAATGTGTGCACGATAGGACAACTGGAAGAAATTTGCTACTGCACAATGTGTGTACGATAGGAAAATTGGAAGAAATTTGCTACTGTACAATGTGTGCACGATAGGAAAACTGGAAGAAATTTGCTACTGCACAATGTGTATACGATAGAAAAACTGGAGAAATTTACTACTGCACAATGTGTGCACAATAGGAAAACTGGAAGAAATTTGCTACTGCACAATGTGTATACGATAGAAAAACTGGAGAAATTTGCTACTGCACAATGTTCACACGATAGGAAAACCGGAGAAATTTGCCACTGCACAATGTGGGTACGATAGGAAAATTGGAAAAAATTTGCTACTGCACAATGTGTGCACGATAGGAAAACTGGAGAAATTTGCTACTGCACAATGTGTGTACGATAGGAAAATTGGAAAAAATTTGCTACTGCACAATGTGTGCACGATAGGAAAACTGGAAGAAATTTGCTACTGCACAATGTGTGTACGATAGGAAAATTGGAAGAAATTTCCTACTGCACAATGTGTTCACGATAGGAAAACTGGAGAAATTTGCTACTGCACAATGTGTGTATGACAGGAAAACTGGAAGAAATTTGCTACTGCACAATGTGAATACGATAGAAAAACTGGAAGAAATTTGCTACTGCACAATGTGTGTACGATAGGAAAACTGGAGAAATTTGCTACTGCACAATGTGTGTACGATAGGAAAACTGGAGAAATTTGCTACTGCACAATGTTCACACGATAGGAAAACTGGAAGAAATTTGCTACTGCACAATGTGTGTACGATGGAAAAACTGGAGAAATTTGCTACTGCACAATGTGTGTACGATAGAAAAACTGGAGAAATTTGCTACTGCACAATGTGTGTACGATAGGAAAATTGGAAAAAATTTCCTACTGCACAATGTGTGCACGATAAGAAAACTGGAAGAAATTTGCTACTGCACAATGTGTGTACGATAGGAAAATTGGAAGAAATTTCCTACTGCACAATGTGTGCACGATAGGAAAACTGGAGAAATTTGCTACTGCACAATGTGTGTACGATAGGAAAACTGGAAGAAATTTGCTACTGCACAATGTGAATACGATAGAAAAACTGGAAGAAATTTGCTACTGCACAATGTGTGTACGATAGGAAAACTGGAGAAATTTGCTACTGCACAATGTGTGTACGATAGGAAAACTGGAGAAATTTGCTACTGCACAATGTTCACACGATAGGAAAACTGGAAGAAATTTGCTACTGCACAATGTGTGTACGATAGGAAAACTGAAGAAATTTGCTACTGCACATTGTGTGTATGATAGGAAAATTGGAAAAAATTTGCTTCTGCACAATGTGTGTACGATAGGAAAATTGGAAAAAATTTGCTACTGCACAATGTGTGTACGATGGAAAAACTGGAGAAATTTGCTACTGCACAATGTGTGTACGATAGAAAAACTGGAATATGAAATTTGGACATTAATCCTTTGCAGAAATAGCAAAATTATTTTAAACTGCCAAATCCATGATGGTCACCTGGAAGCCATTCTGTTTTTTTCTGATCAGTCCCAAAAATCAAATGGGCACAACTAAGGACCATAGGGAAAATACACATGAAATTTGAGAGAGATCTCGATAATTAGCAATAACAAACTTTACTAGTCAAAATCCATGATGGTGGCTTGTCCACCATTTTGCTTTTCTGATCAGTTCCAAAATCAAACAAGCACAATTAGGGATCAAGGGAAACCAATATATAAAGTTTGAGAAAGATCCATGCAGTAGTTCTCAAGAAATACCAACCACAATCTTTCAAAGTTAAAATCCACGATGGCCACCTGTTGGCCATTTTGTTTTTTCTGAACAGTCCCAAAATCAAACTAGTGATTTCACTTTCTTTTTAGGTTAGAAAAACATACGTTAAAGGTAAGAAAACTACCATGATAGTATCGCAATAGTCACTGGCCCGTCGTTATAATATCACAACTGTAATTTTACTATTGCAATACTATTGTATAGCTTTTTTCATCTCAATAGTCACCTCTAATTACCAGCATTAGTTACATCAAATTTTGCTATGAAATGTCACTCATTTTTTGCTCGGCTTCTCATTCCGTCAATCCATTGTTGTAAGACCTAAGCATGTCATTCAGATCAAATATAGATCCCTAACTTTGAATGCCCAAGAGTCAACCAATCGCCTTGCTCCTTGAAAATCTATGTTCAGAAATGACATACATATATACTTCTGTCTTACAGAGACTGACCTGGAATGGGCAAGTTGTGTACCTTTTTGTATGATGCATAATGGATTTGATTATTGCTAGAGTTGTTTTAGTTCCATAAACAGGTGCTGTGTCGGGACGACTAATGAAGGAAAATACAAAATTGTAATATCTGTCAGATATTATCAACAAATATTCAGAAATCTATGTAACGGGTTTTCTTCTTTTTTCTTTTTCTTTTCTTTGTTCGACTTTGTAACTTTTCGGAAACCAAATAAATGTAACCTTTTATTAAAGAATTATGAACAGAAATCTAAAATGGGCGTTTGCAACGGAAAAGGAATTTCTACTTTCGTTTTTGATTTGTGATGTAATACAGTAAATACTCCTGTTAATTTCTAAGTCGAAACATATCAATCATTTCGCTCCCGACCAACCAAACACAATTGACATAAACGATGTCATAAGCCTTCTGGTCTTTCAAACAATCGGTTTTTCCATATGAAAAAAAAAAATTCTTACCACCTCTGTCGCGGAGTATCATCAGCCATTTTGTTTCGTTCGGTTGTACACCCGGAATATTTTCCAGTTTCAAACAATTCGTAAATATTTGTCGCACACTGGTTTCGTCTGTATTAGGTGGGAAACCTTCAACAGTTATACAATAAGGCTGTAGTGTCTCTCTGAAATTGTCGCTTGCCATTTTACAACAACTTCATCTGTCCCATCTCGCCCTGCCTATCCTCTACGCGGCTAGTGTCAATTCATGTGATCAAATCATACCATCTGATTGGCTACGTAGAAATAGTAACAGGGGAATTCCGCCTTACTTGGAATACCAGTGTCTGTTTCTACTTTCGATATCTCTAATTTCAGAAATCGTAAATTTATGTGGGGCATAATACTAGCCCTGTCTGTTAACATTCTTACTCGGTAATAACTATTAAAATGTACCTGTGATCCTACAGGTAGGTGTTAACCCTGAAAGGATATAAAGCGTTTATGCATTTATTCATTTTGGTCATGTGATCTGTTGATATTTCGTTTATTTGATAACCCAATAAAGGTATCCATTTTTTATAACATACGTCCATGATTCTAGCATAAAAGCACGGGCATGGGATCTATATATCAGAGTCTATGACTAAACGGGAATGATGCTAGAATTAAAGAATGACCGATTCGATCACTTCCTTTTTCGGTAGATTTCAAAAGATAATTTAACATGACGTTTCTTCGTCAATAAGAAAAAGAAAGTAAAAGCATCTATGGGGTTTTATCCATATGGATTCACCTTAAGTTGACGACAGAGTGTTCATGTGGGCGTTATGTTAAACAGATTGTTAGGATTTTTTATAAGGATTTATAAGGAACATTAATTGATGCAGGCTGAAAGCTTCTATATCCATATCAACAATAATGAGTAAACTTACATTCTTCGGTACAATAGCTATGTAGAGCCAACTGTTGAATTCGAATTTAAACGTTAGATATTTACAACGATTATTTTTTCAGTGTTCATCAAGTAATACTGTTGTAATTTGTTTCTATATATCCACTATTCTGTGAAAGTCCTTTATAGATCCAGGTTACAACGGTTTTTTTTAATTGTTTTTTTTCTAATTGACCCCTCGTTCGACTTGAGGTGTCAGTTTGGAAAAAGTTTTCTGTCACGCTATAATCAGAATTATGTTCATTATTTTTAATTAAAAAAAACAACACATTTACGATATCTCCTCTGATTTAATCTCTTCAGGCGTTCCTCGTGCGATAATCTCTTACGTCCAGGGATTAGCTTTGTAGCCTTCCTCTGTACTTTTTCGATGAATTCGATATCTATAATTCTCGACGGACTTTATACACTTCCTGAATCACTGCATACTAGATTACATACTAATACACACGAACAAACAATGCGCACTTGTAACAGGTTAAAAAGTAGTACATGTCTCTGACAAGTAGTCGTGGATTGCCAGTGGCGTTAAATCCAATAACCGCTCGTTGTCTGCATTGTATTGATGTGAGGGTTTACCGAAAAATTAATTACTTCTGTTAAAGACAGCTCAAAGATTTCTTGTGAAAGCAATTCATTTGACAACAGAACACGGACTGATATGTCTTATGGACTTATCGGACGGCTATCGATAAAAAGATATTCTGATTAAAAAGGTTAACTGTTAACAGATATTGATTAACCTCTTTTGTGTGCATACATGTATTTCAGTATTTCGTGTATTTAACCCAACTGATACAATTGATATATAAACGCGATGACAACGAAAATAATAAAAAATCATTTACCGTGATGTCACTTTAAAAATGTTATGTTTTGGAAGAAACATATGTTATGGGTTTTTTTTAGATAAAAATAAACTACGTCTTGCACATTCTTAATCAAAAAGGTTATATGTCTCAATGTCAAATATGCCCCAAAATTTCGGTGTTCTAGGTCATATGCTCAGAATTAGTAAAACGTAAAACTTAATTGATACGTCAAACACATTTATTCACACGAGTGTTTTCCCGTTCAAAAGACAAAGGGAAGTATTGATGAAAAAATCGGTGATGTAGAAAGAAGAACAAGAGTGGTGAGAACGTATGTCACGTGACACTGAGTTTTACGGGTTTAGAAATGTTCCTAGCAAACTAGAGCTACACATACTATGGAGACTTACTATGAAATTTCCTGAGTATAGACAATCAATTCATTACATCATGAACGCACAGAGCTTTGTCACAAATATGGTATTGTGCATCAGGGTATTACAAATCACATTGAATTTACGTGATCAGTTGTGTTCAATTTCAAACATTAACAATACTAGTATAGTGTGCTTTATTAAATGCGCGTCTACATTCCCTCTCGGATCAAAATATATTACATGTTCTTATAGTTATAGCTCATGGTTTAAACGAGGAAGATATGAATTATTTTAAATTAACTTCAGTAATGGCTGTTGTAAAAATGTCAATATAATCATAGCGATAGTGTGATGTCAACACATCACATCATACTACAGTGTGATGTCAATACCCCACATCATACAATCGATAGTTTGATGTCAACACATCACATCATACTACCGATAGTGTGATGTCAAAACATCACATCATACTACCGATAGTTTGATGTCAACATCACATCATACAACCGATAGTTTGATGTCAACACATCACATCATACAACCGATAGTTTGATGTCAACACATCACATCATACAACCAATAGTGTGATGTCAATACCTCACATCATACTACCGATAGTTTGATGTCAATACACCACATCACACAACCGATAGTTTGATGTCAATATCCCCACATCATACAACCGATAGTGCGATGTCAATACCCCACATCATACTACAGTGTGATGTCAACACCCCACATCATACTACAGTGTGATGTCAACACCCCACATCATACAACCGATAGTTTAATGTCAACACATCACATCATACTACCGATAGTTTGATGTCAATACCTCATATCATACAACCAATAGTGTGATGTCAATACCTCACATCATACTACCGATAGTTTGATGTCAATACACCACATCACACAACCGATAGTTTGATGTCAATATCCCCACATCATACTACCGATAGTGTGATGTCAATAGACCACATCATACTACCGATAGTGTGATGTCAATACCTCACATCATACTACAGTATGATGTCAATACCCCACATCATACTACAGTGTGATGTCAACACCCCAAATCATACTACAGTGTGATGTCAATACCCCACATCATACTACCGATAGTGTGATGTTAATTCCCCACATCATACTACAGTGTGATGTCAACACCCCGCTTCATACTACCGATAGTGTGATGTCAACACACCACATCATACTACCGATAGTGTGATGTCAATTCCCCAAATCATACTACAGTGTGATGTCAACACATCATATCATACTACAGTGTGATGTCAACACCCCAAATCATACTACAGTGTGATGTCAATACCCCACATCATACTACCGATAGTGTGATGTTAATTCCCCACATCATACTACAGTGTGATGTCAACACCCCGCTTCATACTACCGATAGTGTGATGTCAATTCCCCACATCATACTACAGTGTGATGTCAACACATCACATCATACTATCGATAGTTTGATGTCAACACATCACATCATACTACCGATAGTGTGATGTCAACACATCACATCATACTACCGATAGTGTGATGTCAACACCCCACATCATACTACAGATAGCGTGATGTCAATTCCCCACATCATACTACAGTGTGATGTCAATACCTCACATCATACTACATTGTGATGTCAATACCTCACATCATACAACCGATAGTGTGATGTTAACACTCCACATCATACTACCTCACATCATACTACCGATAGTGTGATGTCAACACATCACATCATACTACAGTGTGATGTCAATACCTCACATCATACTACATAGTGTGATGTCAATATCCCCACATCATACAACCGATAGTGTGATGTCAATACCTCACATCATACTACCGATAGTGTGATGTCAATACCCACATCATACTACATAGTGTGATGTCAACACCTCACATCATACTACCGATAGTGTGATGTCAATACCATCACATCATACAACCGATAGTGTGATGTAAACACCCCACATCATACTACCGATAGTGTGATGTCAATTCCCCACATCATACTACAGTGTGATGTCAATACCTCACATCATACTACATTGTGTTGTCAATACCTCACATCATACTACCGATAATGTGATGTCAACACATCACATCATACTACAGTGTGATGTCAATACCTCATATCATACTACCGATAGTGTGACGTCAACACATCACATCATACTACAGTGTGATGTCAATACCTCACATCATACTACAGTGTGATGTCAATACCCCACATCATACTACAGTGTGATGTCAACACATACTACAGTGTGATGTCAACACATCATACAACCGATAGTGTGATGTCAATACCCCACATCATACTTCCGATAGTGTGATGTCAATACCTCACATCATACTACAGTATGATGTCAATACCCCACATCATACTACAGTGTGATGTCAACACATCACATCATACTACCGATAGTGTGATGTCAACACATCACATCATACTACCGATAGTGTGATGTCACACCTCACATACTCACATCATACTATCGATAGTGTGATGTCAATACCCCATATCATACAACCGATAGTGTGATGTCAATACCCCACATCATAATACCGATATTGTGATGTCAATTCCCCACATCATACTACAGTGTAACGTCAATACCTCACATCATACTACAGTGTGATGTCAATACCCATCATACATCATATGTCAACACATCACATCATACTACAGTGTGATGTCAATACCCCACATCATACTACATAGTCATACAACCGATAGTGTGATGTCAATACCTCACATCATACTATCGATAGTTTGATGTCAACACATCACATCATACAACCGATAGTGTGATGTAAACACCCCACATCATACTACCGATAGTGTGATGTCAATTCCCCACATCATACTACAGTGTGATGTCAATACCTCACATCATACTACAGTATGATGTCAATACCCCACATCATACTACAGTATGATGTCAATACCTCACATCATCACAACCGATAGTGTGATGTCACCTATCATACACTACCGATATACTACCGTGTGATGTCAATACCTCACATC